CCTTATAAAGGGCTAATTGTGTGTGGGGACTTTAATGTCAATTTACTTTGTCATTCTAATTCAAGTGTACGCATACTTAGTCTTTTTCGTTCATACAATTTAATAAATCAATTTCATTCACCCACAAGAATAACAGCTAGCACCGCAACTTGTATAGATAATATATATAGTGACATAGCCCCTTTGAATGTTTGTATTTTCAATAGATTTAAATCTGATCACACTGGTCAATGGTTTGAATTCCAATTAAGGAAACAAAAAACATCTAAAAAGAAGAAAATTGTGATAACTCCTATTACAAATGACCGTTTGGACAGATTTAGAGAAGCATTGGTCTATAGAATGCCATTTCTGTGTGGCAGCTCATCCCCTAATAATTTATACAATACTTTTTTTGGATCATTTATTGATGAATTCAAGAAAGTATTTACTCAAAAGACTTTATTGGTCTCTGAGAAAACAAGTTTCTGTGACTGGGCAAATGAGGAGTTACACAGGAAAAGGTTAAAATTATATGAAATCTATGACGAAATGCAATATAACACTAGTGTGGAATTTAGGGAATATGTTAGGTTGTATTCAAATAATTTCAAAAAAGATTGCAAAACTGCAAAGTCTCAATATTTAAGTTCAAAAATAAAAAATAGCATGGATAAAGTAAAAGCTACCTGGAAAATAATAAATGAAGAATCAGGTAAAACGTCTGACAAACGAACTGATTATATGTTAAAAGTTAAAGGGAAGTTAATAAAATCTGACCCAGAGGTAGCTTCTTCTTTTGAAGAGTTCTTTACAAATGTACCACTAAATACGACCAAGTCCCTAGATTCTTCACCTGCTGCTGCGATCTCATTGCTAGAAAAATGTGTACCTGAATGTAATATTAAATTTCAGTTTAAACATATAACTTGTAATGATATCGTTAAAACTTTTAAGCTTATTAATTTAAAAAAAGTAAAGATATATGGGGTATGTCAACAGTCATTTTAAATTCCGTTATTAATGTAATAAGCTCTGAATTGTCTATAATTTTTAACAGATGTATCGATTGTGGAGTCTTTCCGGACGAAATGAAATTAAGTAAGATTACACCGTTGTTCAAGGCCGGTAGTGAGTCTGATCCGTCAAACTTCAGACCTGTTTCCGTGCTCCCTGCGTTGAGCAAAGTTTTTGAAAAGATAATGCTAGACCAGCTTTCTTTACATTTTAATAAAAATAAACTCTTACATAATAAACAGTATGGTTTCACTAAGGGTCGCTCCACAATCGATGCCCGTGTGAAGTTGATTTCGGACATATTTAACGCCTGGGAAGAATCATATGATGGAGTCGGCGTCTTTTGTGACCTGTCAAAGGCCTTTGACTGTGTTCATCCTGATATACTCGTTGGAAAGCTTCAACACTATGGCGTTGATGGCAAAGCTTCCAGCCTGATGAATTCATATTTAAAGGGAAGGATCCAAAGAGTTCATGTCAATGGAGTCACCTCTCCGGGTTCGCAGGTATCAATGGGCGTCCCCCAAGGATCGATTCTCGGGCCTTTCTTATTTCTGATTTACATAAATGACCTCCCATTCTTTGTCAACGAAGTTCATGAGATGGTATTGTTTGCTGATGACACTTCACTTCTATTTAAAGTGAATAGGAATAACGTATTATTGGACGATGTAAACAATTCTATCTCTCGTATAGTTAACTGGTTTAATGTAAATAACTTATTGCTTAATGAGAATAAAACAAAATGTATTAGATTTACAACTACTAGCGTAAAGCGAGATATTGGTAACCTGAAAATTAAGGACAGTGAACTAAACTTTGTTGACAAAACTGTTTTTCTAGGCATAACAATAGATAGTAAACTCCAATGGGGCCCACACATAGAGACTCTTTCGAATAGGCTGAGCTCTGCAGCATATGCAGTAAAGAAAATCCGACAGTTTACTGATGAGGACACGGCTAAAATTGTGTACCATAGCTACTTTCATAGCGTTATGTCGTACGGCATTTTACTGTGGGGTGCTGCTGCAGAGGTTCAATCCATATTTGTGCTGCAGAAGCGGGCTGTTCGGGGTATTTGTTGTGTTTCTCCGAGGGAGTCGGTACGGAATAAGTTTAAGGAATTAAATATTATGACACTATCTGGTCAATATATTCTTGAAGCCTTGTTGTATGTCCAAAAAATATAAACGATTTTAAAACAAATGGTGACTTTCACCAGTATAATACGCGAAATAGAACTAATTTGAGTGTACGACCAACCAGGCTCCAAAAGATAAACCACTCCTTATATGGAAATTGTATTCGTTTTTACAACAAGCTCCCAAGCGAAATTAGAGAATTATCACTAAATAAATTCAAAGCCCTCGTTAAACGAAAATTAATCAACAAAGCTTTTTATAAATTTGAGGACTACTTAAATGATCCTAATCCTTGGGATTGAATTGCTCCAGTTCAAACAATTTGTATGACAATACTTGGCGATTAAAAAGAGTGGCGGAAAGTTTCTTGCCAGTTCTTCTTACCCGCTCTACGCCCTTGACTTGCGAACTGGTAGTAAATGTAAATTTACGATTAATTTAACTTGACGATTCAAAAGTGTACTTGGTTACCTACTTGAATAAAGATATTTTGAGTTTGAGTTTGAGTTTGAGCGCAAATCAAATGATGATGGATCCAAGAAGTATTGCTTTATTGCTTAACAATAATTATAATAAACATACCTTAAGCATACTACAAGTCTTTCTTCTGGACCCACAGCCTTTCTAAATGTCGTGTCTTGTTTTGTCAAATGGGGCTTGAGTAAACCGTATAGATTCATAAATTCGGCTCTTGACATGTGAATGTAATTAAACCATCTTTCTTCGTCATGGAGTAAATCGGCAACAAATAATGAATGATACTCCCCAATTATTGATCGCATCAAATTTATTTCATGAACCCACATTCTACGTTTAGTTTTATGTTCTTCTTCATCTTCCAACAAGCAACTAATAATAATAATATCTTCATCAATCTCCATAACTGAAGACGTCAAACACACGTCAACAAACGACAAGAAAACACTCGAAACTAACCGGACAGTGGACGCATGCCACCGGCAAATCCGTTTAATCCGTTGCGTGCCGTGCGTGCGGCGCGGCCGGCGCCGGCCAATGTACGCGTACCTTTATTGCGCATGAGTACAAAACACGGTATCAGAGGGACGAACGCGGGACTCGGGGCGGTCGCGCGCTTCGGGCGGGAGCTACGATTGGCTCTCCAGTTGTTCTCTGCTGCCCGCGCTCATACGTCGCCCCGCTTGCCTGTAAAGTACAGTCGCACACTCAACTGTGTTTCATTCGCGTTATACAGTGCAACCTTAATATAACGTACCTCAATATAACGACTACCTCGATTTAACAAATTCTTCGTAATCCCTTTGAATTGTCCATAAGAGTCAATATAAAATATACCTTTACATTGCGAACATTCTTTGCGTACAACCTCTTTATAACGAATTTTCAACTATCAAGAAAAAGTATTCATACCTCTAATTAACGAATTTTGCCAACCCAAAACCTTTATACAGGGTGTCCCGTGGCAGATTTAGGATTTGAAATTCGAATATTTTTCTAACGGTTGCGCGGGTGACCGGGGAGGGGTTACAGTTTGGCGCTGCATTTGTGCGGATTGTTTAGTAACAATGTCGCAGTGGACTGGCGCGCCTTCGCAGTTGAAGCGTATTTTGAAGCTAATAAATCGTGCACTGTTGCTCGCCGAAGATTTTGTTCTCACTACAATATTCGTCGCTTAAGTGAAGCACCGAGTGAAAGTTTGATTAGGACGTGGGTCCAGAAGTTCCGTGCAACAGGTTCAAACATTAACGAGCCAAGCCCAGGTCCTAGCCGAACGTCAAGGACTGCACAAAACATTGAACGCGTTGCAAACAGCGTGCAAGAAAATCCCCGCCAGTCAGTGCGTAAGAGAGCGTCAAGTTTGCGCCTTTCAAAAACCACAGTGCACCGTATTTTAAGCTTGGAAATTAAATTCCATCCATTCAAGATCCAATTGGTACAGGCACTTAAACCAAATGACTTCAGAGAACGCAAAGAGTTCTGTGATAACATGTTGAGCCGATTCCGAACTGTTAACACCATTTGGTTTAGTGATGAAGCTTATTTTCATTTGAATGGCTTTGTCAATAAACAAAACTGTCGTTATTGGGCGCCAAGAGGACAAAACCCACGATTGAAACACCAAAAAGCATTGCATAGCCCAAAAGTAACTGTTTGGGCAGCACTTTCTGTCAATGGGATAATTGGGCCGTTTTTCTTTCAAAATTCTCGTGGAGCAACCATAACTGTTGATGGTGATGTCTATCGCCGCATGCTTACTGAGTATTTTATACCGAAACTAAGAGAACATCCATCGAACAGCTCTCACACGAGGTTTCAACAAGATGGCGCCACGCCTCACACATCAAGAGCCACCATGAGCCTCCTTCGCGAAGAATTCCCCGGAAAATTGATAAGCCGATTTGGGGACATCGCATGGCCACCCAGATCGCCAGATCTCACCCCATTAGATTTTTTGTAATGGGGTTACTTAAAGGGAAAAGTGTACGACAGTAACCCGACAGACCTATCGGGTTTAAAAAAAAATATCGTGCGAGAAGTGAATGCTATTCCTCGGTCAGTTTTGCAGCACGTCACTCAGAATACTCTCGAAAGATTCCGCGAGTGTGTACGTCGCGATGGAAAACATTTAGACGGAGTGATCTTCAAAAAATAAAATCCGCATGTCTTGTCTTTCTTTTTATGACAAATATATGTATATTCTAAAATAATAACATCCTTTAATTTAATTAAGAAATCCTAAATCTGCCACGGGACACCCTGTATAAAGTTTCCACCAATAATATAACTCTTAATCTTATAATGTGATTCATGTCTCGACATCTTTCGACACGCTTTTGTTTGTAAAGTAATCAAACACCAACTACAATTGACGTTTTACAAGCCATGTGGATGATCGCCAAAGCTTGGAATTTAGTCACTGAAAAGACCATTGCAAACTGCTTCAAGAAAAGTGGGTTTAACGTAACATGCGAAGATGAGGAGGACGATTTACCAGTCGCAGAACTTGCTAGGACCTGGCAAAGAGTTCAAGAAGAATTACACCTTCAAGAGACTGACTTCGAAGACTTCGTTACCTTTGATAATGATTTGGCCATCTGTGGAGAACTAACTGATGCTGACATCGTCACATCGTCACATCTGTGTTGCGGATGAAGACGAGGAAGAAGAGGGTGAAATTGATGAGCATAACTTCACAATAAAAGATGCTTATAATGCTTTGAATACAATAAAATCTGTGTTTCTCAAAAAGGGAGGTTTGAGTGACGATGTAGTGAAAGCCATCACGAAATTAGATTGCGCTTTGGATGTCATAACTCATACCGGTGGTAAACAGACAACTATCAATGACTTTTTTCTAATGAATGAACAAAATTGAGATTAAGCTACTATAACCACATTGTTAATTGTTTTTGATTATTAATGTAAGAAAAAAATTTTATTATCTATCTAATTGTTTTTAAATACATAGCAAATACATATAGTAATTTGATGAAAATGTGTTATCATTTATTAGTAGAAGTTGTTCGCTATAACAATATAAGTACGTAATATTGAGGTGAATAAAACTATTCTTTTACCTCTTCTAAAAGTTGAAAAAAAACCTAGAAGATATAAACTTCAAAGGTTCAGAGCGCAGTCTTCGACGCATACTAAAAGATTTAGGGTTCCGCTGGAAATCCACAGAAAACAACCGTAAAGTTCTTATAGAGACATCGAATATTCGCCTGCAAAGAATTGAGTATCTAAATAAAATAAAAAATATCGAGAGGCAGCTCGGCCTATTATATATACTGATGAATCATATGTTGATTCTTCTCACTCGACACCCAAAGCGTGGACCGAGGGTTCTACTAAGGGCCTTAAAAAGCCTATTTCAAAAGGCCAACGTGTAGTAATTGTGCACCCTGGCTCAGAAGCTGGGATTGTCTCCAACGCACTGTTGACGTTTAAAGCCGGAACAAAGTCGGGAGATTATCACGACCAGATGAATTATGATAATTATGAAAAATAGCTTAAAACGCAATTAATTCCAAACCTGTCACCCAACTCCGTTGTTGTAGTTGACAATGCCTCCTATCACAATAAACAATATGATCTAACACCAACATCAAACTCTAAAAAAGCAGACATGCAGGCTTGGCTTACTGAGAAAGGCATCCAGTACGAAGCGGCATATCTAAAACCCCAATTATACAGTTTGGGAAAGCCAACAAAGGTTCAAAAAAATTTTTTCACAACACAACCATCAAATTCTAAGACTACTTCCTTACCATCCAGACCTAAACCCAATCGAAATGACATGGTCCACCATCAAGCAATATGTTGCAAGCAAAAACGTTACTGGGAACCTAAATAAATGTACAGAGCTTATAAAAGAAAAAAATGTTCAAATGAGTGAACGAGAGTGGCAAATTTTATGCGGAAAAGTTAAAGATGTAGAAAAAGAATACGCCGACTGCGACCATGTCGTAGACATGGTGACGGAAGAATTTGTTATCCATGTCGGAGAAGAGAGCTCGGAAGATGACTCTGATGGTGCCGATGGCAGCATTGATGTGTGTAGCAGTCCTGAGCTTGGACCTTCAACAAGCAAACGATGTTGTTTAATAGGTGTATATCCATTATCGGAATCTGATTAGTTTTATGGTATAAAAACCTATTTTTTTTAATTAATTAAATTTTAAAAACACATATTTTACTTGTTCTATTTTATTTATTTTACGTAAATTGTAATTTATCAGGTACCAGACATTTAATTTCAAGTATATTACAGTTATTTTTGCAGACACACAGATGCACTCTACTTTTTTTAATTTTTTAGAGGTAACACTTGTATACACGATTGTACACATGCGCAGCTATCCCCTCCACAAATCGCTTAGCACCATTGATTCGTGCCGGGACCTTTACTTTATTGTAAATTATATTAGCACATAGTCTAGCAGATGGCGCTAGTAGGTATATGACATTTTGTTATACATTTCAACATGTTTTAAGAACAAAACCCTTCGACAGCTGGTGCAAATGGACATGAACCACGCAAAGAAAATGGTGACTGTAGGTAACAAAGAGTACAGGGTTTCGGACATAGTGACAAATCTTTTACTACAGTGGCCTGCCTTCCTTCATCGACGGTGAATCAGCCGCATACTTGAATGACATAAACTGGAAAGTAATACAAGTCCTACACCTCAGAGAAATCAAAAGTAAAGTGGCTGAGTATTCAGTGGTTTTGTTATCACAAGAACCACCAATTACTGTATTCTTTAAATATTCGAATAATCCAGAGGTCTTGTTTGAAAATGTGGACTTAAAGAAAAGAAATTCTGTTGATTTAGCTAATTTAGAGCTTGATATTTTGTATCCAGTGGGAAAGACTATAAGTGTGGAGAAGAAAATGGATTTACTGGAACCCTTTTAATACATTCCCCCGATAGTATAGAATTTTACTTAGCGCAACTGTAAGATGGATGGTTATCAAAAGATGGACCGGATTACAAGATGTAGGTGAAAATTAAGAGGATGAGGAAGGTGGTGTGCACGATCCACCCCTTGTTCAAAACACATGGAAGTGGTAGTATTCCTAGTAGATTATTAAACTAAAGGAAGTTATATGGAAGATAAGATTTTTCAACTATGATCAGGATAAAGTTGTTTTCTTGGGAATCTCCCAATATCCATAATATATTCAAATGTGTATCTGAAAAAGAGACTCAATATCTGTGCTTCATGTACTTCTTAAATGAAGTTTTTATATAGAAAATAGTATATCAAACCAGTATATACAGTACTAAACAAGACCTTAATAATTCAGTTGTTTATAATTTATCCAACATGAAAGTGTTTTTCAGTATTTTCATATGGTCTCATTTCATCTGTAATTCCTGTCAATAAGTTTTTAAAAATTTTAAACTTTCTTTGCATTTCCAAAATAATGAATCACAAACCAGTAGGCCATCCTAAACATGATTGATTTGTTAGTAATTGAAGATCTCAATGAGAAGTTTTCCAGCATACAAATAGAACCTCTCAGTTGACGAACAGATGTTTGTCGCTTCCAAATGAAACTCAATGTCTTCTGTGATTTATCTGGCTTAGCCCACAAAGTTGAGAACTATTCTAGCCAACAAAATTGATTAGAGATTACATGGGAGATCTTGATATTGGAGCAACAAGAATCATTGTAATTCTTTTGCATTGACAATTTCTTGACTTCATTGCCATTTTTTTAAAAAAGGATTGTACCTATAAACTGTGGGTACAGCACAACAAAATTACATCCCAAAGTCAACATTGCCAGTAAAAAAGGAATTTATGAAAAAGTCACCGAAAGAAAGCTATGAAGGGTGGTGAAAGGACAACAAAATGGTTACACTTTTATCTACATGTGTAAGATCTAGTATCTACTGTTAAAAGATATGATGAAAGCAATAAAGAAAAAGTGCCATTTCATGTCGACATATAGTACAATAATATAATAAACGTAGACGACAACGTAGAAACGGGAGTAGATTCAAAGGACAGTTCTGTGGGCAGTATTTTAATAAAGTAAAAGGCAATTCTTTGCATTTACTTCCTTGGGTTAAATATTTTTTATCATTTAGATTTTAACATTTTAATTTAAATGAAACTCCAAATAACTTAAAACAAAGGACAATCTGAACTCATACTCATTCAAAGGATCATCTATAACAAAAAAATTATGCATATGCATAAAAAACTAATTGTTTAGAACCAATAACAAATATACAAAACTTTGAAGAGACAATTTAAGACATTTTTAGTCAAAATTGGACTCAACCAACCACTGAGATAAAGCCTCGTAGAGCTTTCACAAACCAAGATTTAAACTAGTTTTACCCAATTCAGGCCAATTCTATGATTTAGACACTTAAGATACAATACCACACAATAGACTGCATTGCTTTTCAAATTTATAACAACTAGTCTGAATTTGGCAATGATGAAGAAAATTTGTACTACATAATATGACAAAAACAAAAAACCAGAATCACCAAAAAACAAAATGGTAGTTAGTATTTTTTTTTTTTTTTTTTATGGCTCTGGCACGATTTGTGCATTAGCCAGCGTCAAGTATAGGACTTTTTATAATTCGTGCTCGTCTTTTAGAAATTCGACAGTGCCCTTTATGTACGGTTTAAGCACTCGCCCGGTACCGCACAACCCTCCCAAAGGCCGAGAACAAATTTGAATTAAATTAAAACTTGCCCTCGAACCGGGAATCGAACCCGGTACCCCTCACCTAGCTGCCACTTAATAAGACCGCTAGGCTATGAGGCCCCCGTAGTTAGTATTAGTACCGCGAACGGCGAAAGTCGAAACCCTAAATTCAAACATTAATTAAAGCAGAGCCAAGTGCCACAGACAAGATTCTGGAAAAAAAATTGAATCAAAATTATGCCCCGCCCTCTAATGTTTAGCTCCTTAACAAAAACTACAATATTATAGTATAATAATATAAAAGATGATAATTATAAAATTAATTTGTAATTTTATAACTTATCGGACAAATACAATTGAATAAACACAATATAACACTCACATCTACCTAATTAACAGAACAATATAATTTCAAAGAACACTTGCATATTGAAATAGTTTCGGCTATAATTTTAAATTTTATAATATTTGGAAATCAGCATTAATTATACTACTTCACGCTGCCCTTAGTTTTTCATAGAAATGAATTGATAGAGTATGAAACCGTTAGAGGAAGTAATTTTAACAAACTTTCCATGTTTCGTATAGGATTTATTTATACACCTTATTTTGCATTTGCATCCAATAAAAACTTTCAATCTAGATTGTATTATATTTATTTAAATTTATAAATAAGATAAACATTTAACATTTATTATTTTGATAGAAGATGAAAGACCTTTGATACTTTATATTGTATCTGTAAAAAATATAGGAACTCCACTAAACAGCTTTAGTTGTCGTCGCCTCAGTTCAACAGGGTACAGTACATAGGATTAGGTTAGGTTAGATCGATTTAAGACTTTGACAGGCTGACATCGGCGTTACGCTATGAGTTGCTTTATGATTTTAATTTTACCATGATAACATATGTAACGATTAACATAAATTACATAAAATTATACATAACAATACTTTTACATATAATTACAAATCAGTTGGAAGGTTGTTGAGTAATAATACCTCAAAAATTCTAACTGACAAATTGCCATAGCGAAATTACAGTAAATCGATAAATCAATATATTCATGTTAGTAAATTAGTATTAAGATATTATACAAACTCAGAATTGGTCATAATGCAGTAAACATTTTTTTACTATAAAAAAAATGATACTGAACTTTTCGGAATCAAATTTAATTTTTTTATTTTATTTCAAACTTCTATTTCCCTGAAAAGAGGCAAAAATGCCTCCATTTCAGCATCGACTCAAGAGCTGCCACTTTATGATCAGGTAATCCTTTTTTATATACACTAAAATAACATTGTGTAAACTTCAAAGTCGTAACTTTTCTATATGATACTCTGTCATAGCCCAAAACCTTTGAATATGCAGCAAAATCTTTAATATCTTCTTTAATTAGTTGAATAATCCTGTATAGATTAGTTCTGTTGACTATTTCAGAATCCTTACTAACGAAAAATTTCAAATGGAACCTTGTTGCATCAAAAATGCATGCAAAATAAATCTTAAAATGCTAGATAGTGTTTAACTCAGGCGACGTTGTGTTAAATTACAACTTCCCTGTATAGTATTGTAGTCTATGTCTCTTACTATCTGTGATAGACTGTTAGTCGTTAGATGCTTAGAAGTAGGCCTGTGTCGGTCGTTCATTTCTCGCGACCCGGGTCGATCGTGACCGATCGCACTCGTGACCGAGTCAAAGGATTCGATCGGTCACCGTTCGTTGAGTGCAAAACAAAAGGCGGCGACCGGCGTAGAGAAAATTTAATGGCCATCGTTCAACAATTTCGTAGTTTACAGGAAATAAGCTAGGTAATGATTCCTGGTAATGGTATAAAAACTTAATAAATGGAAAATGGTTTATTAAAATCCAATAAACAAAGAAAATTATGCTATTTTAAATTATGATTTAGAAATAAAACGGCACCATATAAAACAATAGTTACTACTTTTTAAATATCCAAAGCGAAGTTAAGAGTCTAAATAATCACAATCTCCAACTAATAACTTTAAATAATAATAATTGACTCTATAAATTTAAATGCTTATACAAATCATAAGTGAAATAATTATTAATTACAACGGCGATTGTTTACATTTAGAATTTGAACGTAAACAAAAAGCATGTTAAAATCCACATGTTAAAATAGCCCTTAATATCTACGTGTTACGAACATTTTTTCCTTGAATCGAGATACGAAAGAAAATTATTACCTTCGCACCTTAGTATTAAAGTTCAATATAGCTTGACCCTAGTTTCGGTCTTCAGAGATTAACCGAGTGTATGTCAATCGCGAATAATATTCTATGAGACCGAGAGCCGATAGTAACCGAGGAGCTACCATTTCATAGGGTTCGCTTTGAGACCGAACGGTCGTGTCGGTCAAACATGATTGGGATATTATAGCGGCTGTGAACGATTGTATCAATCACGCGATTGTTGGGACTCGGTCGTTTTGACTCGGTCGTTCATAAGTCCTCGTGAAAGACTGTGGTCTGTGGCTTGTGATAATTGTTGTTTATTTTTAAATTTGATAAATAAATGTATGTTTAATACTAATTGTGTATTTTCATTTAATCTAATAGCTACTAAATATACATATATATTAAGGTAGGTGGAAACGATAGATCGAGTTACTCTTAATTTTTATTTTTTAATAATATTATCTTTACAGTTCGTTAAGAACAATAATTAAAAATGGACTTGTGCAGATGTTGTCATGCTGAAGGTTGTTTTCAAAGTTTAACGGAATTAATTAATACCGTAACCTACGAAGATATGTTGAAGATTTGCTTTGATATTATGGTAAGGTTTTTTTATGTAATACTACACTACTAACGTATTGTAACTTTGTAGTTAAAGGAATCTCCACATCTCTAAAAGTTAAAGTACTGTCATAATTAACAACAAAATGAATCCCTTAATGTGTCCAAAGACTAAACACAAGCTTTTAAGAATTTGTTTTTTTTTCTTTTTGAAACACCTTAAGTTGAATTGATTGGGAAATACCTTGATGGGCTTCTGCTTCTGTTCTTCACACTATGTGCGGCAAAATGTGCTATTGTGGAATGACAGACAGAGAAGTGGTAGGAGTGGAATTGAATTCATATTTATAGATGTTGTACAAACATATGTATAAAAACTAAATTGTTCGTACATTGAACTCTCCCACTTGACTTATGTGTTTGATATTGTTATAAATTGTTTCAGATTTGCCATGCACCTGATAACAATCGACAATATGCCATATGTAACCAATGTATACTGAAACTTCAAGATGCATATTACTTCAAAAAACAAGTGATAGAAAATGAACAGAGATTTTCCGAGTACAAAAATGATCTAGGTATCTCAGTCATCCACCTTAAATTAAACATCTTTCATTGTATCTTCCAGTGCCTTCGTCTTAGATATCAACAACATAAATTAATACTTTCAGTGTAATTAGATTTCATTTCAACATTCTCAATTAAAATCAGCCCGAGTCTGAACTATTACTTACTTAAAAAATAGCCATGTTATGTGAATGCTGGTCAACTACTAGTATAGAATTAAGAATGGTAACACCACTGGATTATTTTATTTTTTTTAATTTCAGATATGTTTCCTGAAGTAAAACTCGAACCACCAAGCGATACTGTACCAATAGGTTAGTATAAAATCAATTAATTGAATGCTTGATAATTTATACTTGGAGCATTTGACTGGCAGAATATCTGATGTACCTTTATAAAAAAGGCATATTGTTTTGATAACTTACTCCTTTATGTAGTCATACCACTCCATTTGGGTTCCTGCCCTTGCTTTATACCTAAAATAACTTAACATTTAAAGTTTATTTTATGTTGAGTTTAACACTTTGTTGCATTAATAAAACATATGAAATCGGGTCACATATATTAAGGAAGCAACGGGCGGCCTTTTCGCTAGCAAGTTCTTCCAGAATACCCTTGTAAGGAAAAAAAAACTTATGTACACGCGGTAGAAGTTATACTTCTTTGGCTTAACAAGATAAAAATCTTATTCTACTCTTGTAGAAAAAACTACACTAAATAGAAAAAATTTAAATGTTGACTATAGCTAACTTCAGGGTGTCGGTTTTTTTGTGATTGTAAATCGTAAAAATTTACTCTCATAATTTTTCCCTAACGAGCCAAAAAGGTATAACTTCAATTATACTAATTTCCTTGTGTTTAATATGTTAGTAAATAATAATAAATAAATCGAAACGGTACAGAAAAACCTTAAGGTGCGTTACATAGGGCGTTCAAAAATTGCGTTGTGTATTATGTGAACGTTCAGATTTTGACTTGACTTATCCTCTTACTGCAATTAAAGATTAATATATTTCAGATTTTGTGACTCCAGACGGACCAGAAGGTATGTACATTTTTTTTTTTAAATATTAATCATACAATCAGTCTTTTCGACTATAAGTAGATACGTGAGTGCTTCTTGAATGATGAATGTACATATTTAAAAGAATTATAACTACACATTACACAAGTTGTCTTCACACTGCAGTACTGTTTCTGTATACATAATCAGAATTTGGAACAATCACAGTTTGTGAGGAATCTTTGGATCTACTGAACCGATTTTGAAAATTATCTTACTATAGTATAGCCAAGTTATTTGTGAGTGTTATATATTATACTAGCAGACCGGCCAGGCGTTGCTGTGGCTAAGGTTTTTGTTATATTACATAGTAGCAAACACTATTCAAGGGAAACGTTAGGAGAACACCAGTCATGGAGACCACCATGCTTTTATGGTGGTTATGCCATTAAATTGTAGCTTATGTGAAACGTTGATACTTTCAACACAGCGCCATCTGTTAGAATTGTGACTATCAAATAATAAACAAATATTTTGCAATAAAATAATATTGGGGGTATAAATTGAGATGTAAGCTATCCTATCTTTTAAGTTGGATCAAATTACACACGGTGTGCAAATTTGATTGATATCGGTTCGGTAGCTTAGGAGTCCATAGCGGACAAACAACGTGACTCGTAATTTATATATATTAAGATATTGCTTGCAGTACAATTCAATAAGGACATCGCTATTAATAGCAAGCCAAGAAACTCATGTAAAACAAAAGACTACACGATTGTCCGCTCTGATTGTGGTTGGTCTGTTGCTGTTGCATTATGCATAATACTCATTGACACGTAACGTCATACGTCATGATTTGACGTCCGTTTGACAGATCACAGTCGAACGCAACGTTTCGTCTGGCGTCGTTATATTTTCACATCCCTATTTGGGTCATGTTAACAAATCATTGACCAAACTTTAAACTATTCCGTTCCAGGGGACTCTGACGATGATATAGATTTAAGTACATTAAAGAAGTTAAAAAGTAAATCGGATAAAAGGATCAAAAAAGAAAAGCATAAAATTACAGAGATAACAGGTTTGTTGTTTATTATACAAAATCCCGTAAAAGCGTAATCGAGCCGTTAAACATAAAATTTTCAATTCTCATACTTTTGTATTATGGAATTATTTTAATGATTACGTCATCTGTCAAAATCAATTGACGCAATTGCGCTACTCTATGTTGGAACACATGACACGTTGACACGCAAAATGCCTTCCTTCCTTTTTTTATTTGATTTTTATATTTTATACTCTTAATTTTATGTAATTACCTACGTACTTTTATTTTTAATATGACCAGAACTTAAGAAAAATCCTACAAGACTAAATATAAAATTTACCTAATTATTTTTTAGATTCGGAAAAATCGGATTATCGAACAGCGGATATACGGAATCTCGTCAAAATAATAGTGATGTACTCCACCTCCACACCCTTCAGATGGTCCTACAGCAAATATATGTGTTTTTTCTGTGACAAAGTTTTCATCAAAATATCCGAACTGAAACAGCATAATTACGAACATTTTGAGACAAAATTGGATGACGCATTAAAATGCATCAATACAGAGACGAAAGTAAAATTGGAAATCACGGACTTGGCCTGCAAAGCTTGTCCAAAAGATATGCAAACATTAGATGATTTTCTAGATCATGTCACAATAACACACAAACAGAACTTTAACAACGCCGTACGTTGTTCCATCTTCGCTTTTCGAATTACGGATTCTGAAGCGCCATGCCCAGAATGTCATCAAAATTTCACCTTTTTCGGAAATCTATTGTCACACGTCTACAAGAATCACCTAACATCCGGCCCTTTACTCTGTGACTCATGTGGCAAGGGCTTTTTGACGAAATTCATGTTGAAAAAACATATAAAGTTAACGCATAGTAACACTGAGTACAGCTGCCAAAAGTGCAATCAAATATTCAAGACGCATGGCGCGTATTCGTACCACAGACTATCACACAAGGGCGAATTCCCTTGTACGCAGTGTTCCGAAAAGTTCCCTTCTTGGTATCTTCGTAAACGTCACATTGCATTCGTCCATGACAAGTCCTTGCAAATCTCCTGCGAATTGTGTTCGAAGAAATTTGTGAAATATAACTCTTTAAAATGGCATTTAATGTCCGTACATCACAATGATAAACCATTTTCGTGCGAAATGTGTGACTTTAAGTGCATAAATAAGACATATTTAAAGCGACACATGGTAAGCCATTTGGATACCAGGCCATTTCAGTGTCATATTTGTGTAAAATCTTTTCAGCGGAAGGAACATTTAGAAACACATGTACGTATACATACAAACGATAAGCGGTTTGTATGTAAGGAATGTGGGAAGGGATTTGTGCAAGTGACCGGTCTCAAAGTACATGTAAGAGCGCACCATTCGAAGTCTGATACATAAGCCACGCAATTGGAGATTGGGGTGACCAAATAAAATAAACGATATCTAAAACTATTGTAATGAGAGACTATTCAACTTTGTATCTCAAGTCACAATCGCGTATTGAGTGCTGTCAAATATCTTACACATAAAATGGTTTGACAGGTCGTGACATTAGATTAACATTTTATTGACGTTCTAGAAAACGGACCTTTAACAGTAATGTCAAAGAATCATCTATATATTTTAATACCTAGTTATACTAAAACTCATATTCCAGAGCGTTACTTAAACTTAAATATACGTAGTCGGTCCCAAAGTTCTGTCATAAATGGAAATAATGATAAAAACAAAAGTACTGATCAGTTTGTAATGAGTGATATATCAATTCTTAGTAAATTAATTAAGGAATAAAAAAAGCATAAAAATATTCGAAATAACCTCCCTCATTTTTAATACAGGCCCTTAAGCGTCGGGGCCAGTCGTCTATCGCAGCACGCACCATATTCGTGTCCATTTCAGTCACTGGCTTTTTTAAAGATGACTTCAGATTCTCCAAATTTTCATGAGGTTTATCACAGACCTTCCTCTCTAAGCCCTGTCATAATTTCTGGTCCAAAGGATTAAGGTCCGGACTGGAGGAAGGCCAATCCTCATGTCTAATTAAGACGATGTTTTGACGCTCAAACCAGGCTTTAGTGGTCTTGGCTTTGTATGCAGACGCAGAGTCCTGCTGGAACACGAAGTGATGTCCCGCAAATAGGGTGCTGGACATGTCTTTGACAAGGCGATACAAAACCGTCTCTTGGTACACTCTAGCACTGTTTTGACCCCTTTTCAGAAAAAAATTAACCTCAGTTAGCCCGTAATAGGACACTCCCAACCAAACCATTACTGATGATGGATGATGTCCATGTTGCACCCTTGGAACTTTATTTTCAGCTTCTTCAGAACTCTTAGCGTACACTGTATAATTCTGTTTATTGTACTTCTCTTCAATATCGAAAAATTTTTCGTCCGTAAAGAGGATATCACGGTGTCGGTTTTTCGCGTACCGCTTAAACAACACCCACGATCTCTTAAGCCTTATTGCTTTTAGACGAGCATTAAGTAAGTGCCCACTCTTTTTTGTATGCTCGTAGACCAAGATCTTCATTTAAAACCTTTTTTACTGTTTTCCTACTGACACCCATCTGCAAATCCATCAACTTCTGTTTTCGGACAGGATTTCTTACTATCCGCGCCTTGATAGCTTTGATTACTGCTGGTGTTCTTGCGGAGCGTGGCCAGCCAGTTCTTTTCTTGTCCTCAACACTGGAGACTTCAAGGTACCTATCAATAGTACCGTACACAAACCTAAGCGTTATATTCAAATTTTTGAGCAACTTGAATATGGTACTCGGCGAGTGTCCACAGCGGTGCAACGCAATAACAACTATTCGGTTTACTTTCAATGTCCACTCCATCGTGAAAAATTACGGAAAGTTATTGTTTTTTGTTTTAAAACAATAATCAAACATTCCAAAATAGAATGCAATAATTTTTTTATAAAATCCTGCTCGAAATGTAGAAATAATGTGCTAGTGACAGAACTTTGGGACCAACTACGTAGTTTGTCAAATAATATTCCGTATTCGAAGATTGACATTTGGCATTGCTTAAGGATTCAGTTTTGTCATAGCTTTCTCTAGTCTCATAAATTGGGATGGATTTTAATTGTAAAATATACGTCGTTAAAAATTATAGCGATAAAAAAATCGTAATATTCCAATTAATAATAAAACGCCATGTAAATTTTACGAAATGTATGTCACTTAGGGAGTTTATATTTTTATATTGTCTGTGGCACCGGCATATGGTGTGTTTGGCGCCGTAAAATATTTATAGTACCTTTTTATTAATTCGATTGGAATGGCCTTTGAATAAAATCTTAAAAAAAAAACATTTATGAGTTCAGATATAGTAAAGTATAAAACTACAAAACAGTATAATGAAACGTCACATTTGTATTTTAATAACCCTCACAAAGTTACAATAATATTTCTTTTTAATAATGCTATAAAATGTAGAAACTTATGTTAATTTATGGAAAATTTCCTATATCAACACTGAAAATCACGATCAATAATATATTTGATTCATTTTATTATTATTATATATATGTATTTACATTGAGGTAATAAAACTGAAGTGGCACAGATCTCTATTGTTCGTGTGATGGATGTTTTAGTATTAAGGCTTGTGATATTAAGCTAATTTTTTTTTATGGTTATTTTAGATACTTAAATATTTATGTGATATTAGTGTATGCAATGTAATGTTTAATTATAGTGCTTATATATAAATCAGAAACAAATAATAAAATGATTTTATTTCCTATCCTGTTTTGTTATTATTCTATTATTTAAAAGTACCTACCTATGGATTGGGAAGTGCATTGAACACAGATTAATTGCTTTGTAGTTAAATAGTTTCAGTCAAACAGATGTTTAATTACTACTAGAAGCCGATCTAATCTAATGAAATCTACTTCATTGTGATGTTATAATTAGGATTGGCTATATTATCTACGCTATCATGTCACTTGATTAACTTCTACCTAAATTAGCTTGAATCTGTAGCCGTATTGACCGGAATTTTGACAAACATCCAGGGGATGGATTAAATTGTCAACGTCAGTGTAAAGTCAAACCGGAAGTCAATAGTCAGTGTAATTTGGTATTACAATTTACGACAATGATATTAACATCCGTTTGTACGTATTACGATATGAGTTAGATTGTTTTTTAATAAAAAATAAAACGTATTCAAATATGTTTCTCTATTTATTAAGTATTTTATCATTATGTGTGCAAGTAGTTTTTGTGACCCTAGCCATAGGTACGTATATGCTTTTAGTACAAACTTATTTATACCGATAAGATTAACAGAAATATATTATTTTATATCTTGAGCAATACGCTAAAAATAAACCAATTGTTTAATCATTTGGCATACTCAATGTAATAACTGAACGTTTGTGTATAAAATTATAATAGTTTCATTTATTTTCTTAACGCAAACTGTTATTTTATGTTATGTATTGTAGTAAAATTTGATTTCTGTCGGTGCAGTCTTATTTAAAAATGCAAAGGTTCATTTGCGTATTCGAGCTAAATTCTTAATTTTACTTCTAATTATACCAAACACAATTTTAATTTAAATTGATTATTAAAATTTATGTTAATTTAATAGGACAGTTCCTCCAATACTATGTTTAATGTAATTTAACTTTTAAATTAAATGAGAACTATATTGTATATTATTAACACAAAGCTTAATTATGGCACTTTAACAACAAAACATACATAATGTATGTGAACAAGTCCTAGCCTCTGATTTTTTCTTGAAATCAGGATACTTTTATGGCCCTCGCTTCTATGGTTGTTGCACTAGGAAAGAAAATTGGTGTTGATAAAAATGTAATGACTATACAAAATTACAAGGTCTGGGCCTCAGATTCCTGAATTTGTTTCGTGATCATTTGCTTTCTCTAATAGGCATGTATAGCTGTCTGTGCCTGACACACACTGTCTATTATTTTGCATTTAAGGTAAGTCACTTTTCTCATATTGTATTTCCATCACCATAAAAGCGAATATTAAATAGAAAGTCCATTGTTGCACAGCCAAGACCAAACCTACAACCTCAGAATATGAGTCGCACGCTGAAGCCACAAGGCCAACTCTTTATTTAGTTCTTTATCTATCTCTTTTTCATTCTTACTGAAATATAAATTATCAAGTGTTGGTACAGTCATAGGTATTAAGTAGTATACAGTGGATAGTGGATCTACTACAACACTACTACACCACTACAAATAAGTATATTTTATTGAAATATTGAAAATTAAATCAAATTTAAAAAGGCTGGGCTCTGTGGCAGTGTACCCTAAAAGCTGGCAGCATTTCCTCGCTGTATTGCAATACTTATTTGTCAAGCCAGTACAGTGAACAAGTTCTTGACATCATCACACTTTAAAAGAATTTATATTATATTTTAGAAGATTATATTTTAGATAAACCTAAGAATGTGGTTGGAGTTGAGTATTGAGTAAAAAAGCATGTGCATCATATAAATGTGTTTCAAGTAATATTGTTTACTGGTGTTATGCTCACTCCATATGATAGTTTGGCCATAGTTATCAAGTAAATCTTTTTTGAATCCTGTGTACTAACTAAAAATATTGCTTACTCAACTATCCATTTTAATGTTACAGCTGCGGGTTTATACTATCTGGCCGAGTTAGTTGAAGAATACAGTGTAATGGCAAAGTATGTGATATCATGGATTGTAGTGGTAAGTACCTCTTATTTGAATGCAATATAATTTTGTACTAAGTAGGAAATAGAAAAACACAGCATTACAGAAATATGTCTGCGACGTGCCAAATTGGGGGATTGCAGGCATAAAATCTTTCTTTTAGTAGTTTTTGAACCTTTAATTACTTTTAATTCTTAAGAAGTTTTATATTTAATGTTTTTTTTCTCATTTGCAGGTCACTGCAGTCATACACCTTGGCTTAATAATCTTTGAGGATATACCACTACAGTTAAATAGTCTGGGACTATTTCAACAATTTTTACATGCATTATTGTTGAGAGATTTCCCCGTGTTTCGGCTAACAAGTGTCACCTTTGTGTCATCTGTGCTGAATTTGATATTGCACCATTACTTAGCGTTTAAGTTCTTTGGTACAACATATTATGGCTTTTCAGAGGTAAGTTTCTTTTTTATACAGAGGTTTGGTCTACCAGAAGTCACAGAGAATACTTATTTAATTATACCTATCTCGATCACAGAATTCACTTTCTGATTGACTACTTACTTAATGTATCATTTCCACCTTTTCTCGCTAACTCGTCATTTTGAAGACTCTCTTCTTAAAGCCATAACCAACATTGAAGTGGTCATATAGAATAGTGACGGATCTGACAATTAGTAAACTTTACAGGGCAGCCATTTCAAAATAATATAATCATGTTAGTTTTTGTCATAAGTATTCTAATTCATATTGTTATTATGAAAATTGGCATACAAGCAAACAAAAGGGTTTGTTTTGAAACAAAATAATAACATTAAATTACACAGTTTTCTAGAAAAAATCACGTTTCTATCAAATCCGTCAATTTACCGACTGATTAATTTGAAATTTATAACACATGGATTTTTTTTTATGTAGCCGTAATATTTAGTCAATGTAGAATCCAAATAAAAAGTGTTTTTTTTTTCAAATCCGACATTGTTCTACAATCATGACGAAATACTTGGTGTTGACATATTGAATGAAGTTCAGCTTTGCGGTCATTTGCAAAATGTAAAATTGTGGAGAGGCTGAAACTTATTCTTATATTTACTACTTTTTTTTTACTAGATATTTAATAAAGGACTCTTGAGTGTGATAAACTCTTACAAGTACTGACTACTCCACTACCTCTTCTCATAATAGTACTAGACTTTAGATTGTTGCCATGATGGAAAATAAGTTAATATAAGTGAAGTTAAAACTATAATATATGTCCTGATTGTTTACAATTAATTTGATAACTAAAATAATAAGAAGTAAGGAAATTTGGTGACAAAATGTCTTAAGAACCAATAACAGTGTCACATAAAAATCGTCAACAGAAATTTCCTCATTGTTTACGGCAATCTTACTTTAAGCTTTTTTGTAGTGTTTCATGGTCACAGCTGTCTAGTTCAACAAAATATTGCTGCATGGTCACAGAAGACATGGTGATCATGCAACAATATTTTGTTGGACACTTTATAGTTGCATGGTCAAGTTTTTGAATGCGCCATGCTGTACACCGTCAAATATTTGTTGCAGGTGCTAGCCTACTTTACATTGTGTCTATGGATAGTACCATTCGCATTATTCGTGTCATTATCAGCCAATGACTATGTCTTACCCACCACGGGGGAAAGGCAACATTTGCTTGGTAAGTTATTTTATCTATTTAACCACCTTTGTTAAAGAAGTAATGCTTTAACAAGACATATCTTTGACACTGACAAGATTTGATTGTCAATAATCTCCAAAAATTGCGTGACGTAATCCTTGAACGCTCCGTAAAGAACTTATATTTTTAATTATCTGAATATACATTATTTCACGAACCCGACAAAATGCAAGGCAAGATGGCGTCGCACCAGTCCCGTGAGTCGTGACGTAACATGTTTATAAAAACGACTATATGTTAAAAAGAATTCAAAAGGTTTAAGCTTAATTTACAGTCTGCGGTGAAATTAATTTCCAAGACAGTATTTGATTTAGACAGAAGACGTTATTTATAAGCATGCTACGTCATCGATTCGACTTTTAAAAGTCAATATTTTAAATTATTTAATTTGGATTTTTTTTTCAGGTGAAAACAACGTGGTCACAGATTACCTATCCCAAAAAGCGAAGAGATACAGTCTGTTGTCTTTCTTCAGTTTCGCCAAAGATTCAATATTGCCACAACGAAATAAAAAATCCTTTTGAATTACGCTAGATTTTATTTATTATTACAAATTGTGAATAAGTGTTACCATATTTGGGTGTTTTCTCGGCATCGCTATTTAGTAACTTGATTTTAATTTGAGTTTGTACCGCGGCTAAGGTGGACTTTAGCACAGAGAAGAGAACTATGTCAAAAATACAGAAAACGTCATCTTAACATTTTTCAAGTGACATATGTAAGTCATACTTAGCGTTAAGTATCGACTCTAAATGTCCGTAGACATTCCGGTTCTTAATGTTCAAATAACTACTTACATATATGTTATATTATAATATCAATTCTGCGTTTCGTTTAACCTTTGCTAGTATAAAACTTTAAAATGATACATTTTATGGACACAACCTATTAAGAAGTAGGCTTTAAGTTAAGGCAATCATTTAATGCGGGTTTCCGTTCATTTAAATAAAATAGTCTTATTAAATTCTTTAAGGAGATTCAAAAACTATTGTAAAACGATCGAGGTCTGGGTAAAGCAAAGTACAAGTACGCGAACTCTGGTTTCTATTGTTTTTGGTAGAAAAAACTTTTAACTAATCTGTGAAGCCATAAAATAATGTATTAATTGCAAAAACAATCACATCAATTTGTGTCTAGTAGTGTAAGGAGAAAATAATTTCAAAAGCAGTTTAAACAATAAAATATATTTTTAACATATCATTTATTTATGCAACGTAGTAAAATGTTTTAAAGTATTATCTGTGTAATGTGTTTAACTTCATTAATAATGATCTGTGTTTGTAATTGCACAAATGTATTGGCCTAAAGGTCTAGATACCAGGCCATAAACTCAAAAAAAAACCGTTTGGCGCCAAATTAGTCTCGCTCAAGTCGATTACATTACTTGGCTTAAACTAAACCCAAAACATGGATGTTGACTGACAAACGGGTTTCATAGTTCGTGCTAAATATCGTTTCTGAATTTCATCCTATCACTAATGCTCTTAGCGTTGTGAGACGATAGAGTGCTTTAGTGAAATTTGACTTATTTAGTTTAAATTATGGGGTAAGTGTTCATTTTGGCTGCTGATCTATCAAAATAAAGTCTGCCAAGTTGGCGTGTGGTAAATGTATACCAATTTAGAATGTCAGTTATTGTACGCAACGAATGTGAATAAGAAAACTGCGTAATTTCGAGATACAGTAAACCGCACTTAAAATAATGTGGTTTTTTAATCTGGATATTGCGACTGGCAATTTATTTATTTCTTAATATCTTATTTATTTGTAAATAGTACCAGTTTCTTAATTTATGGTTTTTGTATGTTTGAAATAAAATTTGTTAAAACCGCATGTTTTTTTGCCTGCCTTGTTTTCTTTTAACCCGATGTTTTTCTTTCTTCGTACGAGAGTATTATTGTAATTAAGCACAAAAAAGTCCATTGCAGTGCCGCATTTAAAAATTTATACAAAATTAAGTAAATTGATTTTAACTGAGATGAACTATCTACTGTTACATAGTGTCTGTAACGGCAGTGAGAAGTCAGCCATTTCGTCTTAATAATACCCAGGTATAGGGGTATGTTACAAAGCGGCGATTGACTACTGGGTAAGCCGAATACATCGTCAACACGGTAATAAAGACATTGAAACTTTATTTCACATGTTAATGAAGCCTTTAAATTATTACGTTGTTAATCGCTTTGACGTTTATAAAACAGAGTAGGTAGTTGTATTTATCATATGAATAAAAATCACTGCAATTATTTTATAGATTATTGATGACTTTTAATACAATGTTGCCGCATATTCTTTTTACTTTTGAACATTTTTTCACAGTTCAAACATTTATAATCTTTGGTATTTGCGTGTTTTACTAAATGTGCTTTTAACTCATGCTGTCCATACGTCTTAAAGCCACAGATGTGACAAATAACATTCTTTTCCTTCAAATGCCTTTGTTTTACATGCCTTCGTAGAATACTTTGAAAGATGAACGATTGTGGGCACTGTAGGCATTTAATTAAATCTCTTCTTTTGTGCACAGATGCCATATGTAAAGATCTTTGGTAATGAGTTCTGAAGAACTCGCAACAAGCTGAACATCTGTATCGCTTATTGTGAACACATTTCATATGTTCCTGCAAAATTTCCTCACTAAAACGTTTATTACAATCCATACATGAAACTGTATCTTCTATATCACCCTTTAAATGAATGCAGACATCATTAGAGTTACTAAAACGAGTCTGGCAAGTGTCACATTGGAGTTTAAAAAAATGTCTATGCTTTTTCATCATATGCGAAACGACTCCGCCGTGTGACAAAAATTGGGAACTACAGATGACACATTGACAGCCGTCTAGCCTAAAAGGAATGAGACCTATATTATTGTGAAATTTCATCGCGTGATTTTCGACTAAATGGTTAATTAAGCTATGCAAATTGTCTATTACTGCTTTGCACAGTTTACATATAATATTTGTTATATCAACAAATACTGTTTCTTCGTAATAATTAGATATAGTTTTATAAATATCTTCAGGTGAATGAGTGGCTTGGTGGATTTTTAACTGGTCAGGTGACTCAAACATTTCATAGCAAAAAAAGCATCTAAAGCACGTCTTTAACCATCGAAACGGCATAATGTTTGAATTTAGCAGAACTTGTTTAATATTATTTCTGATTGACTCGAATTTCTCCTCGTCTCTTCTTGAATCTTCGCTTTCTAGTTCTGAAAAAACAAATATTATTTAATAAAAAAAAAATTCAGAAGATAAATTTCACAGAACGTAATCGTAACAATATTGGTACTTTTATTCCTTAATAAATGATTTCAAACTATGAAACAATTAAATCATAACAAAACAAATAAAATTTAATTATGATTCTTAAAAGTAATAGTCTCAATGATTGAGAATAACAACATTAAAAATTCATGGAGGTATATAACAGTATTTACACCTCGAATATTTCTTCTATTAGTCAAGCTTTATTTTTTTAAATCTGTTGTATGATAAATAATTGTTTAATTTTTCATAGGGAGTCCAGCTGCAGAAAATAATATTTCACACGGCACACAATTTGCCAGAGAGTTAAATTTATTGCGTGCCAGTATTGCCTTGTCATTGCCCTTATCTTCAAAATGATCCCAAGTCACGCTCCTTCTTAGCGCCATAATGCAATTTCAAATCAACCAAAGATTTATTTGCAAAAAGAAAGTTATTAAATATATTAATTATAAGATTAATATATATATTATAATAATAATAATACATGTCCAGTACATACTTATAAGTTTTAACACTAAATTTATTTACTATATTGTTTAATTATTTTATACACTAACACCATTAGTACAAAGAATAATAATTATTCAATAGATAACGTTTAATCGAATTAACCACTTTGTATTAAACAATGCACGCCGCGAATATTGCATTACAGCTAATAACTGCCGAAAAAAATTATTTTTTTGTAAATAAAACATTCTTCTGTGTGAAAATGAGAAAGAATACTATGTTTCCCTTTTGTCTATACGTGTATTATCTATCAATGCTTAATACTTTTGTCATAAGGTCTATTATTATTAATCGTCACTAGATATCGCGATTTCCTACCTACAGAGGAACATGTATACTAACTTTTTTAGTAAAGTAGTTTTATTCTAAGAGTACATTGTCTTCACATATAATTATTTAACTAATGTAAAAAAAATATTGCAAACCTATTTTAAAAGAGTAAGTGTGGAGTTACTTGCCCATTCTTCTCCACACGAAACTACCCTTTAGAAGGGGCAACTAGAATCTTCTTTGTATTTTGTTTGACATTCAAAAGTGCCATTTTAGGTGGTCTAATCTCATCAAATCCTTTATTTCAGGATTTGACTTTTACACTCCCACACGTGAAAGCGAACCTGTCGTACTCGTACCAAATAAGGTTGAAATTCATTTGTCATTTGCTACTAATACACGTGAACATAGAACGCGTCTCGCAGTTATACTATCGCAGTATTTTTGTGCGTTCAGTGACAATTATCTATACTAATATTATAAAGAGGAAAGATTTGATTTTTTTGTTTGTTTGAAATGAATAGGCTCCGAAACTACTGGACCGATTTCAAAAATTATTTCGTTGGCAAGCTATTCAATTCATTTTCAAAAAAATTAGGGATGCTTACTAAAACTTGAATAATCTAACCCAAGGTGTAAAAAAATAAACAAAAAACTTCCTTCAATCGCGTGCGCTGCGAAAACTATTAATGATAGAACAAAATGATGTATTAAAATTTTTCAGGACACATCACTATCTATAAAAAATGTCGCGACAGCATGTCTCTATCTTTTATATTTAGGTCACAATAAGCGTCCTTTTATTAATTTTCTTTTATTAATATACCACCGCTAGAAAAGGCTCTTTATTATATCTTTTTTATTTATTTATTTTTTTATTTTATATCTTTATTATCCAACGTTTCACATAAGCTACAATTTAATGGCATAACCACCAAAAAAGCATGGTGGATTGGTGTTCTCCTGCCCTTTCTCTTGAATAGTTTACTACTATGTAATATAACAAAAATCTTAGCCACAGCAACGCTTGGCCGAGTCTACTACTACTAGTCACTAAATAAATTCAAAGCCCTCGTTAAACGAAAATTAATCAATAAAGCTTTTTATAAATTTGAGGAATACTTAAATGATCCTAATCCTTGGGATTGATTTGCTCCAGTTCAAACAATTTGTATGACAATACTTGGCGATTAAAAAGAGTTGCAGAAAGTTCTTCTTACCTGCTCTACGCCCTTGACTTGCGAACTGGTAGTAAATTTACAATTAAATTAACTTTCTGACAATTCATAAGTGTACTTGTTTACCTACGTGAATAAAGATATTTTGAGTTTGAGTTTGAGTGGCCGAGTGCTTGTAGCTGTCCTGCGCATATGCTCTAGTATTTATGAGTTTTGAGTAAAATCTAGTGTCAAAACCTGTTGTTTGATATATCTAGTAAAGGTTTGTTTTAAATAAAATGCCTGATAACTTTGTGGTTTTTATTAATACCTTATAATATTTACACGGCCTTATGCGTTTGAATACAATAAACTTATTGCATAATATACGAATATTTCACTTGATTCGCCATTGGATATATAAAACGAGATTTATACAACTTCAATCTAACTTAAATCTACTTTTAGGAGCTGTCAAACCATCTCTGTATAAAGTTTGACATTTTTGTAGGGATGTGACATTCTGCATAAAAAAATCGACTTTTTCCTAAAAAAATAATCGATTTTTTCCTATTTTTGAAACAATTTCAAAATGAACACCTTAAATATTTTATTTATCATGGTTTTCTTAATTATAAATAAACAATAGAAAATATACACACAAATTAAAGTTTTAGAATAATCAAAATTGAAATTAACCTTATCTTGTTTTGATAGATTTTAGGTGAAATTTGATAGATTCTGTGTATGCCTTTTTAGTAGAACATTGCAGTATTTTTCTTGTCTTTTGCATATTCTGTTACCTTGTGCTGCTGAATAAATGTATGCATTTTACTTTTAATTTAAAGTGTTCATTTGAAACTTGAGTTTTTGTGAAATTAACTGGTTTATGGTATGGTTTATTTTTTCACATCCCTACATTTTTGACAGCGCTTATGAGATTGTGAATTGAGATACGAAGCAGATTATAGATATTAGCGTGACTCATACCTACGTCAAAAATATATTAGATTTTTTCACATGGGAGTTGTAAAATGCTTAGATGAGGGGCCTCATAGCCTAGCGGTCTTATTAAGTGGCAGCTAGGTGAGGGGTACTGGGTTCGATTCTCGGTTCGAGGGCAAGTTTTAATTTAATTTAAATTTGTTCTCGGCCTTTGGGAGGGTTGTGCGGTACCGGGCGAGTGCTTAAACCGTACATGGAGGACATGGTCGAATTTCTAAAGACAAGCACAAATTATTAAAAAAATCCTATACTTGACGCTGGCTAATACACAAATCGTGTCAGAGCCATTAAAAAAAAAAAAACGCTTAGCGCTAAGTCATGTCTCTGAGGGTTAGATTTAGGAACGAGACTTGCTAAGCCTCGCCTGACTGGTCCTGCTCCATAGGACAATCCTATGATTGGCTCTATAGCCTGGACAAAATCAAATTGGTTGCTGATTTTTTGCTAAAAAAAAATATGTTAATTTTTGTTATTATTATTATTATTTTTTTTAATTTATATAATGCTACAAATGTAATTATTTTTTTTGTATCTCACACACTGTTTTGTTGTGTTTTTTTAATATTTTTATTACTCTTTAATGTTAATATTCTAAGGTTTCGATATTTGTAAATATGTGAGGAACATGTATACTAACTTTTTTAGTATAGTAGTTTATTCTAAGAGTACATTGTCTTCACATATAATTATTTAACAAATGTAACAAAATATTGTAAACCTATTTTAAAAGAGTAAGTGTGGAGTTTCTTGCCCATTCTTCTCCACACGAAACTACCTTTTGGAAGGGGCAACTAGAATCATCTTTATATTTTTTTTTTTGACGTTCAAAAGTGCCATTTTAGATGGTCTAATTGAAATAAACGATTTGACTTTGACTTTGACTGTATTTTAACGTAAGTCATTATTCGTATTAAGTCTCGCCTCTGAGGGAAGATTGAGAGTCTCCGTCAGTTTATTGCCAGTTCTTCTCTCCCGTTCTACGCCCTTGATTTAGGAACTGGCAGTAAATTTAAAATTAGAAGCATTAATATGTATTTCTTTACTGACATGTCATAAGTGTACATTATGTTACCTATGTGATTAAATGATTTTTTACTTTACTTTTATATTTATCAGAACACAATTTAGATTATAATTGCGGTGAAATAGAATTTTACATTATCCTTAGATAGGAATTTGTTATTTATGTTATTTTTTATTTATATTTAAAACAAAATAAAACCGCTTGTCATGTTTTGGACTCTTTAGCTGGCCATAGACGGACAGCATGTTGCAGTCAAGACCGACTGCTGTAGAGAGGTCGCGTTCAAGTCGTACACGACTTCAACACGACCGCATAATGCAGTCGACTACAACTGCTTGGAGCAGTTGCGTTCGACCGCAAAATAAAACTGATGCGAGTTCATTTACAAGATGGATTTCGATGAAGAAACACTGCTACTTTTACTACTATTACGCAAGCGTAGGCGTAAAGGACACCGTGGTATGTGGGTGCGTCCAATACTACAATCAAGAGAACAGCATGGAATATTTCATACTTTGTATCATCAACTGAGAGAAGACACTTAAAAGTTTTTCAACTACTTTAGAATGTCCGTGGTTTCATTTGATGAATTAGTTAGTATTTTATTTGAGGGAGTGGCGTGCGGTTGGCAGCAACCGCTTGCAGCGGTCCGTGTATGGTGGGTCCGGCAGCTCTAAGCAGTCGACCGTACGACGAAACTCGACCGCAGAGCGACTGCTCCGACCGCTCAGGAACTGCTCGAGCGGTCCGTGAATTGCGGATATGAATTTAGCATGGAAACTGCAGATCGCCGTGCGGCGACCACTTAGAGCAGTCGGTATCGGCTGCATCATGCGGTCCGTCTATGCGTCCAGCGTTTCCCTCATATTGTGGCAGTATAATCTTTGGAAGAGATTCAGATAAGGCGGTCAAAGTGCGGGCTAAGTTTACGTAATCATATTCAGTAATATTGTACTTGACGAACGAAGTCTGGTTTCTATTGGTTTTGGTATGGCAGAGAAAACTCTTCTACTAATCTGTGCATCCATAAATATATAATGTATTTATTGCCTTATTTTAACGAGACTGCAAGAAACATCGATTGGAAATATAAGGAGAAAACAAGTTCAATACTAGTGAAAAGTACTCTTTAAGATGCGATATTATAATTTTAAATATTTTCTGTGTAATGTGTTAAACATATCATTCATAATTATATATGTATTGTTGCGTCATTGTACAAGTTTTATACCAGGCGCAATTTTAAACTATTTAAATACGTTTTTAACAAAAAGTTTCATTTCCCGGCCCAGTAATTTCATACAGAATTAACATTATTTTTAATTATATACAAAAAAAAATTCACAATTTTTTTTTTGTTTGGCGCCAAATTCCCAGCTTACAAATATAAGCGTAAGTGATGGATTTTGACACAGTACGTTCTAATTTTCTGTTCGGAATCTCATACTTAAAGCCATCTGTAGGTGATTAGTTAACGTTGTCGTAAAGATACAATATTGCGTGTTCTGAGAAGAACACGTTTTGACGTTTCGACGGCTGGGCGCAGAAAGGGACCAAACTTTTGCCGTTACGCGTTTTTATAGAGCCACGAGCGAGAGAGCGCTAATGTTCTCGCTCACACACCCTCTCGCTCTAATGAGCGACAGCGCGTATTGTCATCGCCTACGCATGTTATTACTAGTACTAAGTGTAGGATAATTTTTTGTATAAATGTACATAGTTTTAGAAATTAAAGTCATTCCATCTTCACCTCTTCTCTACAAAACAATTAGGAAGTTTTATTTTATCACGACAAAAAAATCCTTAACATCCTATCAGAGCCCACAAGACTGAATCCGCGTTTAAAAAACGCTCCATTCAGTACTGATACGGTTCTTCATACACATTCTTAAGCGGGACGCCCTTATGCATTCTCGAAAAGTGCGCTTTCATAATTTTTCTCGTCGTAAACATCTTATCACAACCATCACATCTGAAATTCTTCTCCCCGCTATGTTTATACATGTGATTCTTTAGTCTGTGACTCGTGAACGCTTTCCAACCACAGACGCTGCAAACGTGATTCCGGACCTTCAAGTGCGCGTCCCGTAAATGCGTCATCATCATACTTCGAAACACAAAGGTTTTCGGACAATGAAGGCATTTAATCACCTCCCTATTCTTATGCTCCTCAACCATATGTCGCGAACGTTTGTAATGCGACCGAAACGTTTCATCACAAACAAGACACTTATATCTCTTCTTATCCAGCTCATGCTGATATTTCTGATGATTCTTCAATTTGTATCGACTCTCGAACTTCTCCCCACACTCCTGACACAACAAACTACTATTATCGTGTATCGCTTTCACGTGGAGACGCAAAAGATTGGCATCTTTGAAATTCTGCCCGCAAATTTCGCACAGCGTCGCCGAAGTGCCTTTGTGATCTTTATTCGTGTGGTGCAACAATGTTCCGAATGTGTAAAACGTGGCACCACAAGTGAGACAATTCAAGGAATAATTGTCCAATTTGAACGGTATCATGCAGATACCCACATCTTTATTGTAAAGAACACCATGTTTCTCCACTAAATGATTAATTAGGTCGTATAAATCTGGTATATCATCTGAGCACAGTTTACACGATAGCGTTGAGATGTCTATGTAGACGACCTGTTCCCAGTATTTGTTCATGGTGGACTCCTTTATTTCGTCTCCTGTGTGTTGGTGTTGGTGCATTTTCAGTTCAGATGGTTCTGTGAATATGTCGTAGCAGTAAAAACATCGGTAGCAGCTTTTCAACCATCGGAATGGCATAACTGTAGACTTTATTAGAACTTGTAGCACATTATTTCTCATTATATTGCGTTTCTCCTTCGATGTCAACCTTTCCGGTTTTTCGATTTTAAAATCTTGAAATGTCGGTATCTCCTCTTGTTCTGAAATGAAAAGCCCGATGTTATTTCTTCTGTTAAATGCTTATTTGTTATCGAACATAATTTTTCACCAATAAGTGTTGTTTTGGAATATTTGTCACTGATTACGAAGGAACTTGGGCCGGAAACAAATAATTATCGGCGATAATTGCCTAATTTTTTAAAACCGAGATTTAGTCAGTCAGACAAGACTTGGCTATATGACTTTCGTAGTAAAAACTAATTGGTTTTTGACGTACGGGTCTCCATAATTAACATTAAGATAAGACGCAGAGACAATGTCTCGACTATGAACCCCACATGGTTTTAGTTTCATGCTTGTCTCCACGTAGTCACACACAAACATGAATAAAGAATAAGTTAAATCTCGGTTAAATATAGAATAAGATGTAAATTACAAATATTAATAAGGTGACGGTCCTCCCTCCAGTTTAAAAAAATCTGTGTTTCGGTAAAAATACGTGTACCCAATATACCACAAAAATATTATTTTAACAATACAAAAACCAAAGCAACAAGTGTTTCCTCGTCTCGAACTTTCTGTCAACATTATTTATTATTAGGTACCTATATACATGTGGATAATTATATATTTTATTATTATATATTATTTTAGATTCCTTATTACCTAAAGGTGGAGCTGATAAACTTCTTTTTATTAGGTAAAATGTAATCGAAGTTCTTCAAACAGTTTCATCCACAGATACTTGAGTGAATTCAATACTTGCTTCAACCTTCTCTTCTACGTACTCCGGATGGAGGGTCTTATAATGCAACCTCAAATTCGGCCTATGCGCAAATTCTTTCCCACAAACGCCACAAGTATGGTCTTTTCTGCCAGTATGGACCACTGAATGCGCATTCAAATTAGACTTTTTAGCGAATTTCTTCCCGCACACCGTACAAATAAAATTCTTATCGCCATTATGTTTACGCAAATGCAACTTCACGTCGTACGGTCCAAAAAATCTTTCCCCACATATTGGACACTCAACATTTTTCTCCCGAAAATGAACGCGCCGCATGTGCCGGGACATAAGACTCTGTTGTGGGAATATTTTCGGACAATATGGACATTGGATTCTCATTTCCGCCACACCGTGAACATTCGCCAGATGCAGCTTTTTAAAATACGGACTTTTGAAAATCTCCGGACAGAATTGGCACGTTAGAAGATTCGCCAAATGCACGTTCTTTTCGTGAAGCGACTTCTTCGATAGAGTCTCCAGACGTATCCCACAATAATTACACGTGTACCCGCCATCTCTGTGATAATAACGATTGTGCATTCTCAAATGATTGTCCCCCTGAAAACTCGTCCCGCAAACATCGCATATATAATCGTGGGACAAATGATGTTTGTTAGCGTGACGTAGGAGGTATTCAAAGAAGACGAACTTCATGTCGCATATCGAGCATGTAGGTTGATCTCTGTCTAGCTTGAAGGGAAGAAAACAGTTTGGGACGCTCATATCATATTCGGCGTCGTGCGCGATTATCAGGTGGTGAATGAGTTGTTCTAGCGTGGCAAATATTTGAGTACAAAGCTCGCAAGTCAGGTTAGTTATATCGATTTTGACGGCTGCATCGCGATTTCTATTACTTTTAGTACGATCAAAAATGATTAACTCTAAATTAGCAAATTTGTGGATTTTTGTATGTTCCCTTAAAATATCTGGATCTTTGATAGGTTCAGTGCAAAAGAAACACCTATATTTTCCTTTATAAAAGAGAAATGGTGTGGCATTGCTGTATTGCAATATATATTCGATGTTTCGTCTCTTGATCGAGTGTTTTTGCACCATTTCGTTTTTCTTTTGACTGTCTTCGACGTCTCCTGTAAAGAATGAGCCTTCATGAATTTCTTCTTCCTTTATAGCTTAATGATTTGATTATAGATACCTAAATATATTTTAAAGGTATTACAGAAAAACATTTGAATTTCTATAAATCTTTATTTACATACAAATATCCAGATTTGATTACAATTTAGCAAAGTTAAAAATAAATTATACACTTTCGCTAACGTACTAAAATTTAATATCTAGGACCTTATACACAATTATTAGTAGTAGCGTTTTCATAAACACTTTTATTTTATCATATTAGTAGTAAATTAATGAGTTTCGTTGATAAAAGCTCGAGTAAAGGGTTTACTTAGTAGCAAACGGCGTGCTTTACCATTCTCACAGAACACATTTGTGATAGGCTTTGTTAGATTGAGTGACGCTTCCAAAGAGTTTTAATTTTTGAGTGTGGTTGAGGGTAGTTTAAAACTAGATAAGGCCGTTTGGCATTGTTCTGTAACTAAATAAATAAAGCCTACATCATTTATTTAATAAGGTACCTGTAACCTGATTATTCCTAAATGTTAAAGTGTATTTTACGTAATGTTAAAAGTTAATTTATCAATTCAAAATCAATGAAAGTTCTAATCTATTATAGTTAAGTTTTGGAAATAAAGGCTATTATTATTATTATAACCTGATAGTCGAGAATTAAATCTTTAATTTCGTTGCAAAAGCAGAATTTTTTCATCTACCCACAAATTTAAACGTGGGCTGACCAGAGCATGGCCATACGTAACGAAAAAGCCTACAAATAAAAAATAATAGCAAAATATGTTGCTAAGCTCAAAACCGCCGCCTATGGATTCACATTGGCCGAAGGCGTTGCTGGCCTTTAAAGAATGAAGGAAGGACCCTAACTCAAACTCAAAATATCTTTATTCAAGTGGGTATCCAAGTACACTTTTGAATTGTCAAGTTAAATTAATTGTAAATTTACATTTACTACCAGTTCGCAAGTCAAGGGCGTAGAGCGGGTAAGAAGAACTTTCCGTCACTCTTTTTAATCGCCAAGTATTGTCATACAAATTGTTTGAACTGGAGCAAATAAGGCGAATTGGTTCGGAAATACAATATAGTGGTGGTGCACGGCAAAAACTGCCTAAAGAAACGCTCAGTTGTGGAAGGGTATTTAAGTAATAGTTGATAAACTTAAGGTACAATGAAAAGCCTGAGCGCGCCACGTCTAAGTTATAGCTCAAAGACGGGAACATGTGAATAACGAGGCTACCTACCCAAATGCTTTTTGTCGATTTTTTTACATTTATTCAGCGTTAACATGCCCATATTTCTTATGCATACCCATGTGCGATGCCAAATTACTACGTCTCATAAACGATTTACAACATACAGCGCAACTGAACTTCCTAACACCTTCATGTTTCACCATATGAAGCTTCAACAGATGATTATCAAAAAATTTCTCCCCACAAATTGAGCATTCCATATTTTTCTCCTTCAAATGGGTCCGTCTAATGTGATCCCTCATGAACGAATTCCTCGTAAACATTCTACCACAGTAGCTACACTTATGCCCTATATCATGAACTTTTATCAGATGCTTTTGTCTTTGATACGGCGACTGAAATTGCTCAGGGCAGTTGGGACACTTAAAATCCTTCGCATTGTGGCATTTAGCGTTATGCCGATTCAAACACCATTGGTTCCTATACTGAATACCGCATATAGAACACTCGCAAGCGCCTTTATGCGTATGCGCAATGTGCGCTGTTAAATTTGATACCTTTTTAAAACTTCTCCCGCAAGAATCACACACGTGGCACGTATTGCTATGCTCAGAGTTGCAGTGCCGCAGTAAAGTTGTGAAATATCGAAAAACGCTAGAACAATGCGTGCAAGAGCATTTGTCGATATAAATTCGAAACGGCTCAAAGCTAATAACAGATTTATCGTAGGACGCACTATGTTTAGCTATAATATGATCGATCAGTTCTTCGAATTGTTCAGCTGGTTGACTGCAAATTCTACACGAGAGGGAGGAAATGTCAATTTTGACAGTTGTCCGTTCGCCTTTACATTTCTTAATACTGGGCGTGTTTAAATCGCAAAACGGATGTTCGGACGCCGTATGTTGTTTGAGTTCCTCAAAGTCCGTGAACCGTAACGAGCAATAGAAGCAGGAAAACTTGGCAAAGAATTTAAAAGGAACTACCGATGTCATATTTAATACGTTAATTATATTTCGTCTAATTTGGGTTAAATTTTGCTTTTTCTTCGGCTCTATAGCGTTTTCCGAAGGTAGCATAGCTGGAGTCTTTTGTAGTATATTCATTTTACAGTTTTTTATGTGCAGCCCGACACCTTGCTTTGAATGACATTTTTTTGAACAAAATGGACACTTATTACTATTAAACTGGGAATGATCGTTCTGGATATGCTTTTGTAACAAGGAAAAGGACGCGAAGCTACCATTGCAATATATGCACTTTCTGAAATGATTTTTGTTTTTGTGACTTTTCAAAGCGTTTTTGGAATCGAAGACATCTGCGCACACGTCGCACGGGTACCCTCCATATTTGTGGAAATTGTGAAGGTGGAATGCCAAATCCCGTTTACTATTGAACGTGGCTCCACAGTCGTCGCAAACAAAATTATTTTGCGAGTGGGCAAGCTTCAAATGTCTCCTTAAATAGACGAAGTACGAAAAATCCTTTTCACAATACTGGCACTTCATATCCACCAACCGAAATTCTGAGATTGGCGTTTCAACTGTTTTATCGTAATCCAAATCGTGTTTTCCTATCAAGTGATCGACTATTTCACTTCGACTCGTAAAAGGTTCGTTGCAGATTTCGCATTCAATAGCCGATATATCTAGTTTAATTTCTATACTATTTCCTTTGATTGCTTTGAGCGAGTAGTCCCGTGTTGTGCATTGGCCGTGCGATTTCATGTGTTTCTTTAAATCTGAGTATTCCGTATAGTCATTAGCACAATAGAAACACAGATATTTCCCTCGCCATTTAAACGGTATAATCGTTGTGTTGTTGAAGAGTATTTGCAAGTTTTTCCTTCTCTTCTCAGACGTATAAGGCTCTAGGCCTTCCGGATTTTCATCTGTAAACAAATTCTTGCTTCAATCTCCTCTTGAAAAACCTTCACCAATTTTTAGCACACAAGTTTCTTGTTAAGCACATAAATTATTTATCGGCAAATAACTTATTTCTACATTTTAGTTGCTGTCTCAGTCCTAAGAGGTCATAGAACAGTGGCAATATTGATCAATATTACGTAATGTAATACTATAATTATAATTAAAAGCTAAAAGGAAAAATTCTATTATTGGCATATATATTTTTAAAACTAGTTCATCTGGTCGTGTGAGGTCATATGGCCTCTCAAATTCTTCTTCCACAAGAACCGCTTCCCACAGATATCACAATGATAATTTCGCTCACCAATATGTTTGACTAGATGCGTTTTTAATAGCGGCTTATCAAAAAACCTCTCAGAACAAATATTACACTCGAAATTCTTCTCCTTCAAGTGCAGACGTCGTACATGATTTCTCAAATGAGAATTTATAGTGAAGACCCGGTTACAGTACATGCATTTATGGCCAGAACTGTGCGCTTGTATTGCGTGCTTTTTAAGTAGATATTGCGTCCCGAATTTATCGTCACATTGTTGACACTGGTAAATTTTCTCACCATGTACTCTGGCTTTGTGACGGGATAGTTTGTGGACGGTAGGAAACTCAGTAGAGCACTCCATACACTTGACACTATCTTGTCTGTGGTAGCGCGATATGTGTGCGCGGTAGTTATAATTATTGCCAAAAGTCTGACCGCAGTAAGCGCAAACAAAATTCTCCACAGAATGTAACAAATTAATATGCTCCAGCAGTTTTCTGAAATACTGGAACACGTCCGAGCAAAATGGACATGTTATACTATCCTTTGCAATTTTAAACGATTGCAAATATTCTACAGTTTTATCATAGGTCGCTTTATGTTTAGCTATTAAGTGATCAATTAGGGGTGGTACGTCTGAGTAGTTTTCTGAACATACTTTGCAGGACAAATTAGATACATCAATTTTCAAACTAATATCACGTCCTTTAAGAAATTTCATAGATTTGGATTTCAAGTCGCAATGCGGATGCTCTTTGACAGAATGTTCTTTGAGTGAATCAAATTGTACGAAATCTTTAGAACAGTGAAAGCATCGAAAACGATTCATAAAGTATTTAAAAGGAAGCGCCGTGGACATGTTAAGGAGGATAGCGATATTTTGTTTAATCACTTTTGTTCTATTAGAGGAATCTTTGCACCTACTTAGATGATACTTCAAGCCTAACTTAGACGTGAAAACTTTCTTACAGTTATCGCAACTTAAAGTCAACATAACCGGCTTCACGTTAAAATCAACAAACGCATGCTCATGAAGCAAATGTTGTCGGAGATTATCGTAATTTTTGAAAACAATATTGCATTTCTCACAAACTGTTACTGAAACATCTATTTTAACTTCATCGGGTATGTTTGCATTCATTATAACATCGGGTGCGTGTGATTTTATATGTTTATTTAATTCGTCATATTCTAATGTTTTATTGCAAAATAGACAAGAATTTTGTCCCTTAAACGGTACAACGCTAGTATTATTGATGAGTGTGAGTAGGTGCGGACGTCTCGGATCAGTATCATCTGAAAATAAATTTCTCTTTTCAGATACTTTATGATTATATAAAAACTAAAGAATTAGTCCCATGAAAAGTGTTATTTAATAATCCAGCGATCGGATTTTTTTATTTCAGACTATTGTAACATATTTAAATAGGGTATAGGCAACCATGGTGAAGACGGGTTGGGTGAGCCTTGTCGAACCTGGACCATATGCAGGAGGTACTACAGAATGAAAGTGGCTGAATCGAGATATGTTAGGACCATAGCAGGTGGAGATTCGTGATCTCTGCCTAACCCTTCGAGTATAAGACGTGATAATATAAGTAAATTAAATACTGTTAAGCAGTGTGACCTTGACTGAACCAAGAGCTTTAACTGGCATAATATTATTAATTGATTTAAACCTTACAGAAATTTGTTCGTTCGAGGGTAAATAAGACAGATAATTGTAATTCCAGTTAAATGGAAAAATAAACTATTCTGGTTTTATAAATAATCACGTATTTCTATTGACCGTTTATAAATATCGGGAAAGGCCTCCGTCATCATTAAAACTCGAGCTGAAAGTGACTTTTTAAATTCTATTATTGGATGCATTCACTCATTCGAATAACAATATAAGTTTTTGTTTATAGACTTGACTGTAATTTTAAATTAAACAAGTGACTTTGTTTTAAATTTTACGGTTATATTTAGCTATTATAGGCACGCAGTCGAAGTAGCGAGCACAAACTAGTAATATTATAGAAACTGCCAACATTTCATAAATACATGATGATTAATACAAGATTTTAACTCGATATTGTTAAATTCTCAACATTTCATTACGTAAACATTTTATGTAAACAGATATTTCAAATCTCTTTCCAAACTTGACTCTTTGCTTCTAATGGTGCAACTCATCATTTTTCTTATGCTTCGCCATGTGCGTACTCAAACTCTTCTTCCAATAAAACCTATCCCCACAGACATCGCAATGAAAGTTCTTAACACCACTGTGCTTCACCAGATGTCGCCGTAACAAAATATTATTAAAAAACTTCGCGTTACAAATCGTACATTCCACATTTTTCTCCTTCAAATGCGTCCGCCTCACGTGATCTCTCATAAACGATTCCCTCGTAAACAATTTGCCGCAATACGTGCACTTGTGCCCCGAATTGTGGGCCTCTATCAGATGTTTCTGCCTCGAGTACTGCGTCTCAAAAGTCTCTGGGCACATCGGGCACTTCGCCGCTTTCACACCATGCTGCTTGGCCATATGCATGAAGAGCCTCGACGGTATATCACAGTCTAAACCACATACACTACAGTTGAACTTCCCATCACTATGCCGCCGCCATAGATGAACGCGAAGATTCTGTTCCCTACGAAACGACTGTCCACAATGCACACAAATATTTTTATTATCTGTATGTATCGTGTTCATGTGTTTTAGCAGTGTTCCGAAGAATCTAAAAACCTCCGAACATAGGGGACACTGCATATGATCTTTAACCAAATGGTACGGTTGGAGACATGTGTTAATTGTTTTATCGTAATTGGCGTCGTGTTTCGAAATCAAATGATTTAGTAATGCGTCTAAATCGGTAAACGTCTCAAAGCAAAGCTTGCAAGCCAGCGTGGCTATATCTATTTTGACCGAGGATTCCGATTCGCGGCATTTGCGTATACTATTTCGTACGTCGCATATCTGATGCGTCATTATTGTATGTTCTCTTAGGGAATTCGGATCTTGAAAGTCTTTAGAACAGAAGAAACAATTGAATTTATTCTGAAAGAAGTTAAAAGGTATCGCCGTGGACATAGTAATGACTATAGATATATTCTCGCGCAGCTGTTTAACGCTCGTACGTTTAGGAGCGTCATACTTAACATCAGAATCCATAACGTCAACATCATTGTCATCAAAGACAACTTCGGCATTCCTACAATTCCTAGAATGCATTTTCAAACCGATGTCCGTATGAAACTGTTTGAAACACAATTTGCATTTCAACGACCCGTCATCCGGGTGCTCGGTTTTCATATGTTTACGTTTCAGCACAGCCGAGGGTAATTTCAAAAAACATATATTACACCGCGACATATGACGATTAATCTTATGCTTATTCAATATGTTCAATGAGGTGAACGTCAAATCGCACGAATCGCACACGAAGCCGCCTTCCCTGTGATAATTTTTCGTGTGCGAGAATAAATCTCGCTTTTTATTAAATTTCTGTTTGCACGTTTCGCATGTGAAGCTATTTTTGGGATGGTTACTGTTGACATGAGAGACAAGATAGCCGAAGAACGTGAATTTCGCTTCACAATTCAGACATGCAAGGTCTTTAAGTCGATACTCCTCAAAGGGCATCTCAATATCCTTATCATACTCCACACTATGTTCCACGACTAAATGCTCGATAACCTCACTTATACTCGGAAAAACCTCTTTACAAATCTCACAACTGATGTCAGAGACATCTATCTTTATTTCCACGTTACTAACACCTCTTATTGCTTTCAAGGAGTGTGTTCGTATGGAACATTCGCCATGTCCCTTAGTGTGTCGCCTGAGTTCGGTGAATTCCTCAACGTACTTGCTACAATAGAAGCAAAGATACTTTCCGCGAAACTTAAATGGAATTATCGTTGTTTTATTGAACAGGGTGACTAGGTTTCGTCGTATGCGCATCGAGGATGGGAGGCCGTTGTATTTACGTTTATCTGGAATGAAATATATAACTTTAAATGTACCCTGTCAGAATAATAAAAAAGAAAGGGTACATTTAGAGTCACAAAGTTCCCAATATTGGAAAAAAATATTTTTAAATAAAAATGTATAGATTCTCGTAAAGCAATTATTTAAAAAAATGAGCAGGTTTGCTTCGGGGTTTTATTATTTATATATCCAGAATTTTATTTTTAAAGAATGTTGACATAAAACAACATTGAATTTAATTCTTCTTATTCTAATAAGGTCCCGAATTAATACATATCTTTAATATAATAAAGTTGAATTTGACCATGCATCGAGGAAAAAACTCGAAACTTCCTTATTCATAAACAAAAATTCTAATCGAACTGATACGTTTGAACTAAGGTACCTACTATTTTTACTCTGTCTCTTCATTAGACACGAAAGAGTGCCGATTGGACTGATTCAGTTTTTATGAGTAGGGTAAGTTGTTCCTGATGTCTGCACGCTTGCGAATTATACGTATTTAAATACGGTTTTCTACTATACACAACGAAGAATGACCTTCTTAAGGAAGCAGAAAATACATGTTCTCTGATATTAATATTAAGATTATTATCAATAATATATAATCACTGAAAACTGACTGGCATCTGTGAGAATTACTTCAAGTAGCTAGATTAAGTATAACGCCATCTAGTCTAGCCCCAATACGAAATCGTTACGCCAAATACCGAAACATGACTACAAGAAATCTACTGTCACTTGTCACAACTACTTCATTTGGTCCGTTTTACGTCCTGGCTAATTAAGCCAGCCAAGCGGAGCGGCCTCACCTACAAGGAATCTACATGATGCACTTTCATATGCAACCTCAAACTGTTATTTTGCGCAAACGTTTGATTACACACAGGACAAACATATTTTTTATCATTGTGTATCCGCATATGATCTTTTAAGGTTTGCTTCCGCGCATATGCCTTCTTGCAAACGCTACATTCATGCACCCTCTCCCCAGAATGCTTGATCATATGCTTCTGCACATGTGTCCGCGAAAAGAATTTCTGCCCGCAAACCGTACACGCAAAGTTCTTTTCTCTCAGATGCACCTCTTTCAAATGTACCCTCATTTTGCTCAAAATTTGAAATGATTTCTGACAAACTGGACATTTTATATCCGGACCTTCAATGTTGTGAACAAAGTTATGATGCTTCTTTCTTAACGTATAATTTTGAAATGTCTCAGCACAGTAGAAGCATCTTATTGACTTGTCTTTGTTATGAACTTTCCTTTCGTGGTTATTTCTTTGCGTTAGGGAATCGAAGGCCTCTGAACATAGATTACAGTGGAAGGCCGATCCATGGCTAAGTGAATGGCACCTCAGCCGATCTTGACTTAGAAAAGACTTCCCACAGAGCTCGCAAACATAATCCCCATAATGTTTGTTCATATGCTGATTTAGTTTGATAAAATATTCGAATGTTTCCTGGCATTCCGCGCATTTGAAGCCATTCTCTTCTAACTTATATGGTACAACGCCGAGACCAAATTCATTATAGACCTTATTATGTTCACTTCTACCGTGTTCAACTATGTCTTTGAGGTCACCTAATTTCTGATCGCATAATCGGCAACGGGTGTTTAGCACATCAATTTTCACTTTCTCGTCTCTTTTAAGGTATGAAACAGCTGATTTGACACTAGATTTTTCATGATCAACTTTCGTATGCTCTTTCAAAGTGCCGATATCTTTGAACGGACGATGGCAAAAGAAACAAAGATAGTTATGTCTGTGCCATTTAAACGGTATAACGGTGGATGATTCTAGTATTATTACCGCATTCTTTTTCATAAGTCGATTTCGTTTCGTCGACGAATACGATTTTATATCTTCTGCCATATCTTGGCGTTTTGCACCTAGAAATTAAAATTCTTTGAGTACGCCCGCTCCGATTCTTCAATATTTCACCATCACCAAGTCATACAAAATCTCCTTATTAATTTCACTTTCCTTATAAATTACTTTATTTTTGATAATGAGTTTTATTATTTATATCGTTAATAAGGTCTTAATTATTTATTTTCAACCATGGAAGGCGTTTCATCATCTTGTACACCTACATATACTTTTGCTAGTGTTTATAAATGAATAATGATCTTTTTTTTTGGAGGAGGCCTATGCCAAAAGGCACACCGAACTTAGGGATCTCTTGTAACCCTACGTTTAGGAATAACAGGCTATAAAAAAAAAATTTACCCTTTCATCCAAAAACCGTAACCAGTGTTACATAAGTACAAAGACTTATCAAATATACAAGTACGAAAGCCTTAAAAGTTACTATCCAAAAGAATATTATGTATGAAAAAAAACAAACGTTTATGTATTCATAACATTTTTTATGACAGAAAAACTATATATGCCACGTAATTTACTATTGCATAATTTGCTTACTATACTGAAAATTTGACTGATCCAATAATATTTGCAATATACACGCTTATGTCAAAATACGTAATTTAATACGTACCTACACTGTTTTATACAGTTTTTATAATGAATTAAACGGCTAAACCGATTTTAAAACCCCAAGCTTTGAACCTTCTATTGAACCTAGGTTCGACGGTAAATTATAAATAAAAAACTACATTCAATATTGTAATTCACTGACTAGATCCGACTTAAAAACGTAAAATTTCCATTTCAAACTATCTATATTGTATGTTCGTGTTGAAACTCTACAGAGATTTCAGAAATTCTTTCACCAGTAAATACATTTTCTCGTATAAATAAGGATTTAAAAAAGGCGTGACAGACCGCTACTATAAATACCAAATCTCTAATACTTATTATTAAACTTAATTGAAATGGCCATATACATATATTCATAATATTTTATATGACAGAAAAACTATATATGCCACGTAATTGATTATTGCATAATTTGCTTACTATACTGAAAATTTGACTGATCCAGGAATATTTGCAATATACACGCTTATGTCAAAATCAAATACATTTTCGTAGTTACGTAATTCAATACGTACCTACAGCGATTTTAAAACCCCAAAACGAAATCGACCATGTGTTTGCGTGTTATTCCCACGAGAATGTAAGTGCGTGCTCCATTTCACCATGCCTCCTGCTGATAGAGGACAAATCTTTGTTTTTAATTTATGTTATTATTAATTACTTAAAATGTCACATGAGACATGGTGTAATGGTTGCAGCTCCTTACAAACATTTTGTAAAACAAAAAAATGGCGATTAAAAAGAGTGGCGGAGAGTTTATTGCCAGTTCTTCTCTCCCGTTCTACGCCCTTGATTTGAGAACTGGCAGTAAATGTAAAATTAGAAGCATTCATATGTATTTATTTACTGCATAAGTGTACATTATGTTACCTATGTGATTAAATGATTTTTTTACTTTTACTTTACAAGCTTCGATCCTCGAATTAGGTTCGACGGTAAATCATGAATGAAAATCTCCATTCAATATTGTACACGTATTATCTATATTGTATATTCGTGTTGAAACTCTACAGAGATTTCATAAATTATTTCACCAGTAAATACATTTTCTCGTATAAATAAGGAATTAAAAAAGGCGTGACAGACCGCTACTATAAATACCAAATCTCTAATACTTATTATTAAACTTAATTGAAATGGCCATAGACAAACATTTCACAGTAATATAGTTATAGTTAAAAATATTGGCCCAAGCGACACTCAACTGGGGTGGTTTCACCGCTGGTTTTTTCTTTGAAGGCAAACATAATAAAGAAACATGTTTAAGATTATCACCTAATTGTCTATACTTCAAACACATCTCGGGTTGTAGCGCCATTAAATTATTTTACATACTAAAACTATAATGAAAAAGTGTTTACCAGAGATGAGTAATATTTCTTTAAAATTGTATATTAATTTAATATTTTCTTGAAATCATAGTGGAATTGCTTTCATTGGTAAAGCTTTAAGTAAATTGTCAAAGTTACAACATTTTAAGTGTCATTTTTATATAACTTTTTAATTAAAAATGCAATAAGTTTCAAAACGGAATAGTTGTACAGATGATAATGACTTTCAATGACAAGTATTTTGTCTATGGAATATTATAGACTCCTATAGACTATGCCACACAGAAGAAGTGTTTTACTTATTTAGATAGCCGATAGTGTTTATATGATAAATAAACTTAATATATATATAAACTAGCGACCCGCCCCGGCTTCGCACGGATGCAATGCTGATACTAAATTCAAAGTGTTATGTATAGGGAGAACCGCGGCCTCCGACGCGCTTCAACCTTCAATTACTCTATCTATTAAAAAACCGCATCAAATTCCGTTGCGTAGTTTTAAAGATTTAAGCATACATAGGGATATAGGGACATAGGGACAGATTAAGCGACTTTGTTTTATACTATGTAGTGATTACGCGTCTCGTTGTTTCTCCGCTATGGACTCCTAAACTACTTAACCGATTTCAATCAAATTTGCACACCGTGTGCAGTTTGATCTAACTTAAAAGATACGAGCTTTCATCTTAATTTACACCCGCAATATTAATTTATTGCAAAATATTTGTTTATTATTTGATAGTCACAAATCTAACAGATGGCGCTATGTTCTAACCAACGTTTCACATAAGCTACAATTTAATGGCATAACCACCAAAAAAGCATGGTGGATTGGTGTTCTCCTTCGGTTTCTCTTGAATAGTTTACTACTATGTAATATAACAAAAATCTTAGCCACAGCAACGCTTGGCTGAGTCTGGTAGTGTATTATAAAAATGAGTAGGTGTGAAAATTTATGGGTTTTGACATATGTAAGTCATACTTACTTATTGTTAAGTCGACTTTAAATCTTAAAAACAAGATAATATTACCCTTCCCTAGTATCAACAAATACCATAAACAAACCTACCTTTAGCTTTCGATGTCTTGGGTTTTTCTTCTTTCTTTTTCACTGTTTTTATCGACTTTTTGGGTCTCCCACGTTTTCCTTTAACGGGTAATGGCTCGGCTGTGACGTCATCATTAATCTCTGAAAAATCAGAGCCTATATTATATTTACTATTTTACACTAATCACAACAATATTACACAACAAACAGTATAATACAAATATAATAACTAGAGTCTGGCTAATGAAAGAAGATTTCGAAAAAGCGCGGCAAATTCCATTTTTTGTAGTATGGTATCCCTAAAAGTTTGATATATTTTTTGGATTAAACTTACTTGATACTTGATTTAATCTCTTTATTTTTTACATAGATAGTAACGTATTTAGTCTTTTACTATTGATACTTAAAATGACTAGCATTGCATGGAAAACTAAAACTATATTTATTAAAAAACACAAGCGATTTCTTTAAAGTACATACTGGTTTTGAGATTTTATTCTATCTTCAGTGAGCTTACCAATAGTTCACACTATTGCATCGACTCCTACATCTCCCAGATTTCCTGCGATAGAAACGAAATATTCTATCAAATAAAACAAAGTTTAGGCTATTATACCTGTTAACTATTCGGAAAAAATATATAATAGTAATAAAAATGAGTAATTGCAAGTATCAAGACAATAAATCATACTAACTGACATTCTGTGTTGCCATCCGAAAGTTTTCAAATAATTCAATTATCTTCTTTCATTAGCCAGACTCTATATAATAAAAAGGGTGCGTGTACTTATGTACGCGCGTAAGAAGTTATACTTCTTTGGCATTACTAAAAATAGTTTTTGATTGCACGCAAATAATTAATTACAATTAAATAATCAAAGACTGGAAAAGGAGTCATTATAGTCAATAAAGTTCAGTTTACATTTGAAAAATTAAATAAATAAATATTTATTATTATTCTCTTACATTAAGTGTAACATAAATTTTATTATTATTCGAATGTTGTTTTTAAATTATGTCCAATGCCGTAGCATCTTCCGTGGGCAACTTCATTCTGTTAATTTTGTATCACGGTGCGCGCGCATCGTAAAATTTCACTCTCATCAATTACTCATAACGCGCCTAAAGAAGTATAACTTCAATACATTGACAGGGTACAATAAAGAAAAATAACCTTTAGTGGTACAATGTTCTTAATTAAGCAAGGTTGCCTAAAGCATCGTTTCTTAACCATTTTTATGTCGCGACCCACGAAGGTGCCAAAAAGTTAAGTAAAACAGTTTTGCGACCACGTCACTGTAAAATTATAATTAAGTTTCATATGATCTCATTCGGTAATATGCTAATTATGAAATGAAATACAGACTTTTATTGGCATATTTCATTTACATAAAAATTAAATTAAATTATTATTCTCCTAACAAAAAAATGCTTTAAAATATTTTTTTAATTATTAAAATACAATGTCTCCCGACCAAGGAGGTTTCAATTCAATTTTAGTACACATAATCTGTGGTGAGCGTGCTGGTTCCGGGCCAATAGACCAATAACAGACTTTTTCCATTTTGGCGCCATTTCGTACATATGAATTTGAGTAATATTTCGTTTGATAAAACTTTACGCCTTTAGTACACCTACGCAATCGCATGCGGCAGCGAAACGACGAAAAAACTGTAAGTTGTATGGCAACGTTTCGCATGTGTTTTGTCTCGCTCTATTATATAGCTAGATGAAATAGTTGCGTCCTTGTCGGTATTGTTTCGTAAGTAACTGCGAAATGGCTGTTACACAGACGCAGCCGTTTCGCTAGCGGAGTTTCGCATCGCAATGCGTCACCACGCGTTCTGTCAGTGAGGACAGAATTTCGCACAATGGAAGCCGAAAATATTGAATTATTATTAAATTTGATTCGAAATTATTCCGAATTATATTTAGTTGGGCATGTTAATTACAAAAATGCATACAAAAAAGAGGTGGCATGGAGGAAAATTCAAGAAAAGACGGGGATAGATGGTAAGAAATAAAGCTACAATGACATTTCCTTGCGAAAAAACTGCAGTGTACTAACGTTCCGCAGATATTTCGCTACCGCAATTATTTCGCAAAGACTCGCAGCCGCATACGAACGCGTAGGTGTACTAAAGGCGTTAGTAGCAAAAATGTCAAGCAACACCGACGATACCGATGAAAATTGTCATTCTAGAAACAGCTACGAAACTGACGAATTGTCTTTTGCCAGAAAAATCAAGAAAAGCGTACGACAAATGTTACCAAGACTATGACTTGGAAACCTTTAGCCATGAGATTAAATAAAGTAGTGTAATATTGTTTTGTAAAAACTACACACATGTTGTTATACCCTAATTATATGACAGTTGCATAAAATAAAATAAAATAAAATATACTGCTCAAAACAATTAGCGGAACAAGATTTTTCTCCTTTCTATTGCTTAAACTAAAATTAGATTTAAATTAACTTGTACGCTATTTTTTACCTTGTTAATTTGTTAATTACTACAATTAATAAAAAAATTCAATTTGTATTTTTTTTATTAAAAAGAAATTAAAATGTGCATTGTAGACGAAAAACAAAGTGACGTCTTTGAATTTTCATTACTTTCTAATCACAGAAAACACATTTTAAGTAGTATTTTTCAATCTTTTGAGTATTAATAGAAATTGAAGTGAGCCTTTTGAGTATTGTTATTCATTGAAGCGAGTGAGTTTAGGTCATAATGCCAGATCTGACTGAATTGCATGTCTCCCGAGCTATCGCTTTGCTTGAAGTGGGTTGAACTATGCGTTATGTAGGAAATGATCTAGGAGTAGCCCCTTCTGTTATCTACAGACTTTGGAAGCGATACCGTGAGATGGGAGAATACTCACGAAGGTGCGGTCAAGGTCGAAAGAGAAAAACTACACGTTTGCAAGATCGCTACATCGTCAACTGTGCTTTACGTAACCGCACGACAACTGCAAGAGATCTACAAAATAGACTAAGGACGGCTACTGGTGTAGAAATTTCCGACCAGACGTCGTAAGTAACGGACGGAGTAAGAAATAGGTTGTTGGAAGCCAATTTGAGATCACGCCGACCAGTTCGGGCTGTGCGTCTAACAATTCAACATAGACAAGCTCGCCGACAGTTCGCGCAAAATCACGCTAATTGGCAACTTCGACATTGGAGGCCAGTGCTTTTTACTGACGAATCACGATTCCGTCTAACACGTTGCGATGGTCGTCTCCGTGTTTACAGACGCCCAGGCGAGCGATACAGTGCAGCAGCAGTCCAGGAATATGACAAATTTGGATGTGGCTCTGTGATGGTTTGAGGCGGAGTTAGTTTGGACGAGCGCACAGATCTCGTCGTTGTTCCCGGGCGCTTGTGTGCTCAAACTTACATTGAAAATGTGCTCGAAGATCATGTTTGGCCCGCAGCATATGGTATGGGCCCAGATTTTCTTTTAATGCAAGATAATGCCAGGCCGCATACTGCAGCCATCACGTCAGATTACTTACGACAGCAGGAAATCCGTGTAATGGAGTGGCCTTCCATGAGCCCTGACCTAAATCCAATTGAACACATTTGGGACTTGCTTGACAGGCGCATCCGGAAGCGTCCGATTGCACCTCAAACACTGCAGCAGCTCACTGAAGCGTTGATTGAAGAATGGGAGCGAATTCCACAAGAAGATATTCGGAGGATCATACGAAGCATGCCGCGTCGTTGTCAAGCCGTGATTAGGGCTCATGGAGGCCACACACGTTACTGAAAGTCACTAAAGACGAATATTCAAACGATATAAGAATATTTCTTTGATGGACCTTTTTTATCACCAATTAGTTATTCGTCTACAATGCACATTTTAATTTTTTTTTAATAAAAAAAATACAAATTGAATTTTTTTATTAATTGTAGTAATTAACAAATTAACAAGGTAAAAAATAGCGTACAAGTTAATTTAAATCTAATTTTAGTTTAAGCAATAGAAAGGAGAAAAATCTTGTTCCTGCTAATTGTTTTGAGCAGTATATGTTTATTATGGAACATGAGATACAATATGTATCACTTATTCCACGTCATTAAATTTGAATTTGTAGGCATCCCTACTCATCGGCAAAGAAGACAGAGGGTGTAGGCCGAGAGAAAAAGCCGGCGTAAAAAACTCTCGGTACTTTTTTAAAACAGCAAATCATCGAACAACACTTATTTAAGACAAATATCGCAAATTAATTAGAGGTAGCCTGTCAAGCACTAGTCCCAGGCCCTTTTATCAACTAGATAATAATCGTTGACTTTATAGTAAGCCTTTTTACACAGCTTTTCTTTAATACATTTCTTAAATTTATTGAAAGGCAGAAACTACTAGTATGACACTACACTATAATTATTAATTCCTTTAATAAACAAACCTTTTGTGCCTATACGTAGTTTGTATTTATTAATTTTCAACAAGCTGCGACCCCGTTTTAAAACAAACTCGACCCCCTACACCTTTTACGCCCGAACCCAATAACCAATCGATGGATTGTAATAGCCATCTGTAGATACAAGCTATCCATGGGAGGTCGTATCGGTGGATAGACCTTTGTATGTAAATGACAGTTGACGATAACATACACCAGTTTTATAATAATAATAAAAACTGTTTGTTATGTTTTAAATATACACATGTTACATATTCATTGCACTCCCTTTGCCCCGCATACCCAATACAAGTCACCTCTTACGAAACTACGCTATATATAAGGAAAGGGACAAGAGAACCAACAGCTTTTTGATCGGATACCTCATATCGGACCGGTCAAGTCTCAAGTAGTTAAGTTTATTATATATTTATCGTGCACCTAATATCGGGCCGATTAAATAATTGTATTTAGTTAAGTTTATTATTTGTAAAAGTAATTAATTAAAGTAATATTAATATATTTTGGTTTTTTTTTGGAATCCACCGCTGGCCCTCACTTAATTCACATGTATATTTTAATGTTATTTGTACGGTTTTATTTACGTTAGTTGGTTTACAATGATTATCAAATATAAGTAAAAACTCGGTAAAATGGGACGACAAAAGCATTTTGTCAAACTCCAAAAATGGATTGTCTTCTTAGAGTTTGGTTATTGGGATGCAGATAGGAGATTGATTGACTGTCACGGTCTGATTGAAAACAATCTGAGATTGTGGATTGACTATTGGGTTTGGGCAATAGGCTATCACGGTAAAGTCATGTTTTAATAATTCTAAAACTTACAAGCCACTTGTGTGTGCCAATCAAGTCTTTGAAGTATATAATTAGTAACTTTTAACTACATACCATCATCAAAGGCCATTGGTTCTTCCAAGAAGTCAAAGTTTCCTGCATCTTCCGACTGTTCTTCTGCATTTTGTTCCAATTTGAGATCTTCTTCAAACAGTATGTCCACTGTAACTTTAATTATGTAATTTTTCAGTTTTCTAATTAATTATGTATTCTTTAAGCAGATTTTAGTCAGTTAGGATATTATAAGACTTTATCAGTTATTGAGATCAACTATATGATTATTTATTTAAAGAAATCCTACACTGCAAGATGAAAAAAAAAAAGTTTATTATGGAACATAAGATACAGGTATCACTTATTCCACGTCATTAAATTTGAATTTGTAGGCCTCCCTACTCATCGGCAAAGAAGACAGAGGGTGTAGGGCGAGAGAAAAAGCTGGCGTAAAATCATCATCTAACAACACTTATTTTAAAACAAATATCGCAAATGACTTAGAAGTAGCCTGTCTAGTATAATCGTTAACTTTATAGTAAGCCTTTTTACACCACTTTTCTTTAATGTATTAAAAGGCAGAGATAAGACTTAGCCTGAACAACATAACGCTTATGTCAAAATCCTAAATATTATGAATATACAGAAGTCATGCTTAGTATGTTATTCAGAGAAAAAAAATGTATTGTGAACAGCAGCACAGCACCCGTATGTCAAAATCTTATATGTTTTTAACCCTAGAAAGATAACCTACGTCAAATCGACGTAGTCGATTTAAAAAATCAATATGATTTGTTTCTATATACGCGCCATGGCACTGGCCGTTCCTGTCAACTCAGTGGACCCAAGTATCTTCTAGGTAACAGTCGTGTTTTTTAGATAAGTGCAATACTTTCGTCATTATATACCTACTGGAGAGCATCAGTCGAGCGCTGTCCTAAGTGCATTGAAGGGTTAGCCTTATATATCAATAAAAAAATATTAGTTAAGGTTGATCATTTTATAATAAGTTAAAAAAGTTTATTTCTTAAATTATAAGGCTGATGAAGAGACTCCATCATGTTTAAGTTTTTTAGTGTTAAAAGAGCTGTGTTTAGTATATTTAAGATTTAGCTAATTAAAATATATGTATAGTGTATACACTTATTTTTATTTTATTTATTATTAAGTTAATTGCATATATTAAAGCTGACAATCACATTCATAAGCATATGATATACAAATTCCAGCACTTAAACATTTATACGTCAAAATGACGTATGGTTATCTTTAGTGTATAGCAAAATATAGTTATCTTTCTAAGGTTAACACAATGGAGTTCTAATGACTAAGGGCTAACATTTGTTTTTTAATCATACATTTAGTACTATGTCTAAACTCAAGATTGTGCTCTTAAAGGTTTCAAAAACATATACAGTTGAAACCGATTATAATGACATTGTTTACAACAACCAATCTGTTATTACAGCCAGCCACTGCGTTTATTTATTTTGACATATAATATCTTCTATCTGGTGAAAGTTTTATTCAATAAGTGATAAACTTATTGAATAAAAATCTCACCAGATACACACTTGGCTAGTGCTGTTTTCTACTTATTATACATACCTCTTTGCTTAAAGTCACCTCGTCCCACCATATCCACAAATTTTTTCTCACATTCAAGAACCTGTTTCTTAAAATTGCAAGCATCTCTGAGCCGAGTGATACAAACTTCACATATAAGCCTATTTGTGCCATTTGGACCTTCATTGTTTTGTGATATCTAAAAAATTACTAAACTGGTAAATTTAATTAAAGATTCGATATAACTTGCAATTGCTTGCAAATGAATGAAATCAGTAAAAAAATTAACTTAAGAATGTATTTACATTGACGGCACCATCACATAAATTATAAAACAATAATCACATATACATTTTAAAAACTTATACTTACGCTTATATCAAAACATTCCAACAACATATCAGCATAGACCTCATTTTCTCCCATCCAAATGTATTCAGTGGCCAATTCCTTGTAGCATCCTTCTGAAAGACAACACCGGCATAGTCCCGGATTCTCCTTTACAATCACATCGTCAAACTCCATTTCTAATGTGAATTAACAGTCCATTATTATTGAATATTTTGTCTTAACTACATAAACTTAAGGTAGTTTAGACAGTTAAAATTCTAGGAAGTTTGATTTATTTACAATATATTTCTTTTCGTTTTGAAATTTGTATGCGCCATTTTGGTTCTCACTTCTCAGTTTCTCAGCGCAGATTAGGCAGCTAGAATACTTATGAATACTATGACAGTGACTGTTATGATAAAATGTCTAAGAACAAAAATATGTTACTTGTGTCAAAGTCGCGGACTAGTACATTAGTATTTACTATTATGTGCGTTTTCCAATTACAGAGCATTTTGCGACTCAGTGCCGCACAATGCCGCATAATTCTGAAGCTTAATTGGAACGTGAATTAGTTTTCAAATGCATCAGCAGAGTGCGCTAAGTCAGTGTTGTAAAAAAAATGTTATGAATTGAGTTAGCAACCTCATTAATGTATAAATAATGTGGTAAACAATAATAATTGGTTGAAAACTTTTTACGCTTATTTTAATCATCAAATTATTTCATTAACATTTTTTAAATTGAAATAATAGAAAACCTTTAGAAGAATATAAGGTTTTAACAAGCTAAATTAACAGTAAAATATTTAGTTTCATGTAAGAAGTTTACATCATTTACGTTTTAAGTAATATTTTTTAATGATTTCTAAAAAAAATAAATACTTTTCAAAACCATTGCAATTTTTTCTAAAGTATAATCCTGTAAAATAAATTTGTTTACAGATCCGAATTTTAAAATAAAATTGTATTCATATTTTAAATGTGGAATATAAAAAAAGTAACTATTTATCATCCATACTAATATTTTTTTTTAGCAGTTTGAAATAACTTTAATTATTTTCAAAATCTACGACGAAACGAAAGCCTTACAAATTTTTCAACAATAAATAATATTTACTAACGAAAATTTCGATAAATGCCAACTTAAAGAAAAATACTGGTCAATTTTCTGTCACTGTGTTGGTATTGTTTGCGAGAAGCTCGCGAGAGCATTCGTTTTGAGAGTGCTCAATTGTGCGAAGCGTTGCTGTAGTTGGAACACTCGACGTTGAGCATTATGCCGCAAAATGCGCTCTATAGTCGTATTTTTAATTAGACGAAGCCAACTGACAGTAGCTAATGTCACTTTGTAAAATAATGTTGCCATATTTAAAGTAATAGTGATGCGTTCAGTTCTTGTTCAATCAGATGAATGAACAATGAGTGTGAATAGTCAATCATTTCAAACAATAAAAGAATATTATTTCTATTTCAAAATTGTATAAAAGTGCTCTGATATAAGTTAGGTACTAGTACTATGTAACTAAAATCAGTTTTTTGACGTCTTATTACAAAGCGCGGCGCGGCGACTAGTGCCATCACCGATCATTAATTCAGGGGTTTTTACTTTGTCACAACACTATTTTTATTTCATTAAAAACTGACAACACCGTAAACGTCAGTTGATATCGTCTAATTAAAAATTCGCTCTAGAGCTGTAATTGGAAAACGCACTTATTAGTTATCTCTGGTCAAGTCACTTATTATACAGATCCGAATTTTAAAATAAAATTGTATTCATATTTTAAATGTGGAATATAAAAAAAGTAATTATTTATACCTTCATCCGTACTTATATTTTTTTTTTTGCAGTTTGAAATAACTTTAATTATTTTCAAAATCTACGACGAAACGAAAGCCTTATAAATTTTTCAACAATAAATAATATATATATATTTTTTTCCTTTATGGCTCTGGCACGGTTTGTGCATTAGCCAGCGTCAAGTAGGTATAAGGTTTTTATAAGTCGCTGTTAAATAATATTTACTAACGAAAATTTCGATAAATGCCAACTTAAAGAAAAACACTGGACAATTTTCTGTCACTGTGTTGGTATTTATTGCGAGAACCACGCTGCCTGCACGCGAGAGCATTCGTTTTGAGAGTGCTCGATTGTGCGAAGCGTTGCTGTAGTTGGAACATTCAACGTTGAGCATTTTGCCGCATAATACGCTCTAGTGCTGTAATTGGAAAACGCACTCAATTACTCATTAGTTTTGAGAGTGCTCAATTGTGCGAAGCGTTGCTGTATTTGGAAGTTGGAACATTCAACGTTGAGCATTATACCGCTGGCCGCATACTGCTGCATAGTGCTGTAATTGGAAAACGCAATAGTTTGATATAGGTGTTCACAAATATACAAATATTTACTATTGTAATTAAATATAAGTAATGTTATCAAAATAAGTTTTAATTAGTTCTCAAATAAATAGTAGAAAAGTATAATACTTAAAATGACATTACCAACTATATGCCGTTGCTGTTTGGCTAAAGGATTGCACACAGACATGGAGATCCCAAATATATATGAAGGAAAAAAAGAAATTTATTTTGAAATGCTCCAGGAGTGCTTCAACATTGATGTGAGTGATAAATATGTTACGTTAAATATATAAATATATTACTTGGTGTCAATTTGCGCTAACAATCTCAGCGAAACACAACTTCTAACTGTATGGGTTTGGAACAGATGGATATCCTAAGCTAAACAGTGACCAACTTTTAAACAATTAATGTGTTGTTATTACAGCTATCTACCCAGAAGAAATCAAAGTCAATATGCAACAAATGTATAACACGGTTAAGAGATGCCCATGATTTTATGCAGCAAGTTCTCTATACTGAGGAGATTATTACCACAATCTTAGAGGAAAATAATGGTAATATATTTTTTATTTGTAAGTTCATAATAACTTTGAATTTGGGTTTTGGTGTCACATGGGTTTGTACAATTTTAAATACTATTTCTGCCCCTTGAGTTAGTGAAGCATGAGGCACTTACTTTTGTCTCTGTTTTTACTGATGTATAAAACATAAGGAGACAATTATTTCTTTTAATATTCCACCCTTACTAATGATTTTTTCAAACAAACCAAGTGCTCCAGGTTTAAAGCCATGTGTGATATGAGAGTGGTGGAATTTCCTCCATAGTGTGTGATAAGTATTGGCAGAGTTACTTGAGCGACTTTCATCTCAAATAGAATAGACTTTACTTTCTATGTGCGCATTTAACACTTGCCCATTCAAATAATAAATTGATAGAAACCTGCACTTAATCCAAAATGTTCATGGCATGTATTAGTCACAGAAGGCACTTGACTATTTAAAAAAAATCTGAGCTTCTGAGCTACAGAGTTTCTTTAGTAGCCATTATAATATAAACAAGGTTGTGGTTTTAGCTGTGGATGAATGTGAAGAGTTAAAATCAGAAGATGATTCAACAGATGGCCTTTATTTGAATATTGGTGAGTTAAAATTTTTAATGTAAATTATTGTTATGTGCAATAGTGTGAATAAATATGTATGTGTATTACAATATAGTTTTAATCTCAATAACATTTACGATTTTTAAGTAGGTGATTGGTCTGTGCTTGACTCCCTTGATGGAAGTATCTATGGTTTATATTAATTTTATTGGTGTTTTAATTTAAGAAACTATTAATAAGTAATAATAATCTTGTTGTTAAACTATTATGGGGGCCTCATAGCCAAGCGGTCTTATTAAGTGGTAGCTAGCTAGGTGAGGGGTACAGGGTCCGATTCCCGGTTCGAGGGCAAGTTTTAATTAAATTTAAATTTGTTCTCTGCCTTTGGGAGGGTTGTGCGGTACCAGGCGAGTGCCCAAACCGCACATGGAGGTCACGGTCGAATTTCTAAAGACTAGCACGAATTATAATCCATGTCGGGAAACTAAAATTTTTTAAAACACATTTTTTTCAAATTTATATGAAATGCGTATGCATATGCGTAAGTACTTGCCACCTCTGGCATCACACTTTTATACCCATTATTCTAATGAAACGTGTTTTACTTAACACAATTATGAGAAAGTCCATTCACACGGGACATTAAGCTTTGTTTGTGCTTTCAGATGATGTGTCAATTGAGGTAAAATCAGATAATTGTGACAATTCGGATAACAGTGACAATGGTGAGTAATGATAATGCGCCCATTTCGTTTAAACTTGATTTGTTAAACTGGACTGTAAATAATAATAATATTGTGGAGGAAGGTAAATAGAACAGAACAGTAGAACAGAATACTTCCTAATAAGGATTAATAATATAATTAAAATAACGTAATTTTGTAACATCTAGAAATGATTGAATTTTTGTTTTTCAGTGGAAGAGAAAGAGTCGAAAGCAAAAGAAGTGATTAAGTCAAGTGGGGCTAAGAGGAAACCATCTACCAAGAAATCAAGTAGAAAATCAAGGAGTAAGTATTGATTTATCCAATAATTTTCAAAGTTCAAAGAAAAATTTGAGAAAAAGGACTTGTTTTTTGCCTAGTGTAATTGCGAAAATATATGTTACTCTAAGGTACGAATGCGTGGGAACTTTTGACGACTCATTGGTCTAGTGGTTAGTACCCTTGACTGCGAATCTGGGTCCCGGGTTCGATCCCCGGCTGAGACGAACATCGATGTGATGAGCATTTGGTGTTGTGCTTAGGTCTTGAGTGTTTAAATATGTATTTATATGTCTATCTATATATAATATGTATGTATATCCGTTGCCTAGTACCCATAACACAAGCTTCACCAGCTTAGCATGGGACTAGGTCAATTGGTGTGAATTGTCTTTAAAAAAAAATTGTGTTGGTGGCGGTAACGAACGAACTATAAAATATAAAAAAAGATCCCGTCCTGTACGGATCGGTCTAAATCTTATTTTTGTAGAGCAAAGTTAGTAATTAAATATAATTTTCAGGTGAAAAGAAAGTATCAAAATTAACAAGGCCACTACACGAGAAAGACAAACAAAAGAAAAATCTGACAACACTTTTAAAATATTCAAATATACTGGTGTTTAAGGACAGAACACTGGCTGGGATTATTTGTGGATACTGTGATAAAGTCTTTGAAGATCCGTTGGAACTCAGATCCCATACGGACTCAGACCATGCAAGTGAACGACTCTTCATTCCATTGGACTACAAGAAGTACCCAATCAAACTAGAGATCTCAAACCTAAAATGCACGATATGTGACGAAGACATTGACAATTTACAAACCCTCAAAGAACATTTAGTGAATAGACATGACAAATTCATCTATAATGACATAAAGGACTATTTAATGTCATTCAAATTCACAAGTGACAGCTTCAATTGCACTATGTGCACTTCGAAGTATAAAACATTCAAAATGCTAAAACAACATATGAACATACACTACATGAACCACATATGCCACTGTGGGTCCACGTTCATAACAAAGCGATCACTGAACGCACACAAAACTACCCACATTGAGGGTAGCTACAAATGCGATTTCTGTGAGAAGGTATTCTCAAATAACACAAAGAAAATCTACCACCAGAGAACGTTACATTTAGGCCGTAGAACTATCAGGAATTGTCCATACTGCGAGGAGTCATTCCCGACTCATTACCAACAGAACCAGCATATTGTGAAAGTGCATAAAACTGAAGCCCTGTATAAATGTAATATTTGTAAAAGAGGGTATATTCGAAAAACTCTCTTAATGAAACATATTAAAAGATATCATATGATGGAGAGGAATCATCGGTGTGTGGAATGTGGGTGTAAGTTTTTCAATAGCCGTTCGCTTCGATTACACATGGTGAAGCATACGGGGGTGAAAAGGTATGAATGTAAGATTTGTAAAAAGACATATGGGAGAAATACCACGCTGACAGCGCATATGCGGATACACAATAATGATAGACGGTTTAAATGTGATATATGTGATAATGCATTCGTGCAAAAGTGTAGTTTAAAAAGTCATTTGTTGTCCCACCACGGTGTAATTAAATCGTCTAGTGAGATCTTTGCGAAAATATAAAATTGTTTATTTTGTGTTTTATTTATAACAATTATCAATAAAGTATCGAAAACTTTTAATTGTTTAATTCTGCTCCGTCAAATTGTCACTTTTGACTTTAACCTTAAGATGAATATCGCCTCGGCGTGGGAAGAACGTGCGAGAAAGGTACGTTAGCTGACATAAGTTTGACATCAGACGACGATGGTATTTGACTAGCTTAGAATTACAGCTTTATAAAAAAAAGGGTGCGTGTACTTATGTACGCGCGTAAGATGTTATACTTCTTTGGCATTATTAAAAAAAGAATTGCATGCAAATAACTATGTAATTACAATTAAATAATCAAAGACTGGAAAAGGAGTCCTTATAGTCAACAAAGTTCAGTTTACATTTGAAAAATTAAATAAATAAATATTTATTATTATTCTCTTACATTAAGTGTAACATAAATTCTATTATTATTCGAATGTTGTTTTTAAATTATGTCCAATGCCGTAGCATCTTCCGTGGGCAACTTCATTCTGTTAATTTTGTGTCACGGTGCGCGGGCATCGTAAAATTTCACTTTCATAATTTTTTTATAACGCGCCTAAAGAAGTATAACTTCAAAAAAACAAATATTCTTGGAAATATTCAAATTTGGGTCACAGCACACATATCAACTCTGAAAGGGATTGTCACTAGTCGTGTAGAACGTTAAAATTTAGTTTAAAAATTGCTTCCCAATTGCTTCTATTTAATTCCTACTAATTTGCTTCCTTAGTATCTTGGGAGAACCATAACAATTAAAGTGACCGTCCATTCTGACGTCAGAATGGCTGGTCACCTATCCTATTGTACCTACTCACTACAATGAATTATCGATTAATTCATAGTTCGTATTTTGCTTCCTATTTGTTTCTTCCTAGGTATTCAAACCTCGATGCTGTACCTATCATGGAATTAAGATATCGAACAATGTTATTACAATTTCCCCCAGCGCCTGGTAAAAATATACAGGCAAAATTATTTTGTTAAAAATAAGTTTATTTATATAAAAAAATGGGAGGTAGGTAGTAACAGAACGCCTAACTATAAGTATGTACTTTATTAACTTTGTCATTAGCGGAACAAGATTTTTCTCCTTTCTATTGCTTAAACTAAAATTAGATTTAAATTAACTTGTACGCTATTTTTTACCTTGTTAATTTGTTAATTACTACAATTAATAAAAAAATTCAATTTGTATTTTTTTTATTAAAAAAAATTAAAATGTGCATTGTAGACGAAAAACAAAGTGACGTCTTTGAATTTTCATTACTTTCTAATCACAGAAAACACATTTTAAGTAGTTTTTTTCAATCTTTTGAGTATTAATAGAAATTGAAGTGAGCCTTTTGAGTATTGTTATTCATTGAAGCGAGTGAGTTTAGGTCATAATGCCAGATCTGACTGAATTGCATGTCTCCCGAGCTATCGCTTTGCTTGAAGAGGGTCGAACTATGCGTTATGTAGGAAATGATCTAGGAGTAGCCCCTTCTGTTATCTACAGACTTGGGAAGCGATACCGTGAGACGGGAGAATACTCACGAAGGCGTGGTCAAGGTCGAAAGAGAAAAACTACACGTTTGCAAGATCGCTACATCGTCAACTGTGCTTTACGGCGGACGGCTACTGGTGTAGAAATTTCCGACCAGACGGTAAGAAATAGGTTGTTGGAAGTCAATTTGAGATCACGCCGACCAGTTCGGGCTGTGCGTCTAACAATTCAACATAGACAAGCTCGCCGACAGTTAGCGCAAAATCACGCTAATTGGCAACTTCGACATTGGAGGCCTCAGGCCAGTGCTTTTTACTGACGAATCACGATTCCGTCTAACACGTTGCGATGGTCGTCTCCGTGTTTACAGACGCCCAGGCGAGCGATACAGTGCAGCAGCAGTCCAGGAATATGACAAATTTGGATGTGGCTCTGTGATGGTTTGGGGCGGAGTTAGTTTGGACGAGCGCACAGATCTCGTCGTTGTTCCCGGGCGCTTGTGTGCTCAAACTTACATTGAAAATGTGCTCGAAGATCATGTTTGGCCCGCAGCATATGGTATGGGCCCAGATTTTCTTTAAATGCAAGATAATGCCAGGCCGCATACTGCAGCCATCACGTCAGATTACTTACGACAGCAGGAAATCCGTGTAATGGAGTGGCCTTCCATGAGCCCTGACCTAAATCCAATTGAACACATTTGGGACTTGCTTGACAGGCGCATCCGGAAGCGTCCGATTGCACCTCAAACACTGCAGCAGCTCACTGAAGCGTTGATTGAAGAATGGGAGCGAATTCCACAAGAAGATATTCGGAGGATCATACGAAGCATGCCGCGTCGGTATCAAGCCGTGATTAGGGCTCGTGGAGGCCACACACGTTACTGAAAGTCACTAAAGACGAATATTCAAACGATATAAGAATATTTCTTTGATGGACCTTTTTTCGTCTACAATGCACATTTTAATTTTTTTTTAATAAAAAAATTCAAATGGAATTTTTTTATTAATTGTAGTAATTAACAAATTAACAAGGTAAAAAATAGCGTACAGGTTAATTTAAATCTAATTTTAGTTTAAGCAATATATATACATAATATAAAATATATTTACAAGAATTGCTTGTTTATAGATAGATATGTACATAATTTACAAGTGTGGGCGCTTGGATTGGACGTATTTCGTTGAGACTAGCGCTTCTGACGAGATAAATCATATTATTATCTTCAACTTTTTATTACTTTCAATGTTTCAACGTAAAGTACATAGGACAGAATCCTTCGCATGAAATTAAACATGTTTATTTATTTCTATGCAGTGAGGGCTCATGCCCAGGAAACAGTTTTTCGCCGGGCTTAGCTCCGGCAAAAAACATGACATGCACAATTGCACACACAGCATGAGGCCTATGTATTTTAGAAGTACATAATTAGACTTATGATAATTATGTCTTAATAAATCTGATGACAAACATGAAGCGTTCTATTACTACCTACCTACCATTATTTATATTAATAAAATTATTTTTAACAAAATAATTTTGCCTGTATATTTTTACCAGGCGCTGGGGGCAATTGTAATACAGCTCGAGTCGAGACGAGCGTTACGCTATATAGCGTAACCTCGACAACTTGTTTATAAATATTTATAAACAGATTAGTGTGAAGTAGAAGTTTTGTATTTATATGCAGTTAAGAAAATCGGATTATACCTATACCAAACCTACACAAAACACATCAATGTAATGTTGTGACATTTGACACATTTCATTTTGAACAATGGTTCCTCAATTTGTAAGTTAGGATTTCCTTTCTTATTTTGCAAATATTATGATATGGGTTTTAACAAATATATTATAATGTTTCATTAAAAAGATTGGAGAAACTTGTTTCACCAGTAATCACTATGTACCAATTATTACTCTTTCAGGTTTGTAATAAAAACAATTTCAGTTCGATATATTTATTTCTTACAATATTAGATTACGTGATTATTTATTATTACACAATTATAAACTACATATTATATTGAATGACGTAATTATTTTTTTGGTGACTGACCACCAAACACATATAGGACCTCTCCATATAGACCTCCATGCTCATTTTCAACTTTACATCCGTAGTAGCCTGTGTCACTCTGCTTCAGCCCGACAATTGACAGTTCAGAAGTGGTACTATTCCCGGCTGTTGAAGTTACAATCTTTATATGCTCAGATGAAGATATGGGCTTAGAGTTGAATGTCCAAGATATTTTCGGAGCTGGAAAACCTGTTGCATTGCATGGGATGGTAACTTTTTCCCCAGTGGCTTTTACTTCCCCGGATGGAATGACTTCAGGGTGAGGGGCAGCTGGAAACAAACATTATTAGAATCTACTTCTAAAAATTTCTAAAAAAGATTCTAAAAACCAAAAACTACGGAATGTCGGTTGGATGGTTGTCTATGGATAGATCTCGGCCGAGGAGAGTTATTAAATACCAAAGATAATAATTACATCTAAACGCCTAAATACTTAAAATATATTGATGTGGAATTGTATTTTTTATTTACAAAAAACTATAAAATAAATTTAAAAAAAAATTCCACTTAAGACTAATATTTTAAGATGGATATCTAAGTAAGTTTAGTTTTAATCTTTACAAAAATATATTTAGAAAGTGTTGTGTGTAGAATTGATAACATTCGCCCGCAGCGGGCCGGGGATTTCCTGGCAAGATTTTGCGGTATCGCTAACAATACTTGTACTTCAGTATATTGACATAATACATTTAAAACTTCCTTGAAAATATCACTTATATTAAAACCCTTTAGTAGTTTGTAAGTTTATCGCGATTATAAAAACGGGGTATTCAATGACACGAAAGGATTACAAGGTTATAAAAGAAGAAAGCTCTTTCTCCAACCCAGAGACCCATCAGTCGAACCAGCAACAGACCCGAGACCCGAGTGGCTAAGGTCGAGAGGTTGTATAGTATATCCTTAGTCGGAAAAACTTTGTTAGGATGTTTCAGGGTATGAGTTATGACGTCATAATTGAAATATGATATGTTTTTTGACTTACCCACGACATTCAGTTTCATACTGTGTTCTTTCGATGCGCTAACATTGTTGTGTGATACGCAAAGATAAGTTCCGGCATCTGTTAACCATGTGTCGCGAATGAGGAGGCGTTTCCCCTTGCTTCGGTTGTATGGGGTCACGCGAGATTTAGGCAGTCCATTACTATCTTTGCCGTCTTTGTAATAGTCCTGCATTGGTAGAGGGCTGAAAAATATAAAATATATGAGTTCGCTGTTAAAATTTCCCTTGACAGCAGTTCCAAATTATAACAGCTCAATGTGCGATAATCCGACAGCTCGCAAGATTGTTATGTAATAGGAGGCAAACGGGCAGGAGGCTCACGTTAAGTGATACCGCCGCCCATGGACACACACTGCAAGAAGGCTCGCCAATGCGTTGCCGGCCTTTCAAGAATCGGTACGCTTTTGAAGGACCCTAAGTCGAATTGGTTCAGAAATACTTCAGTGAGCAGCAGCATAGTGGTGGTACGCGGAAAAAACTGCCAAATTTTCAGTTGTGGAACGACGGACGTCGCGGTGATACGGATGGTATTTTGTATTCTGCCTTGACGTTCGATAATGGAACTCAGCTGCAAGTATTAATCCGAACAACTCCTCTGAACACTCTCCATGGTAAATGCGGTAGAAGATGCAGAGAGACCCCACATATATGTGTTTATTTAAGATATTGTTTTATAACAATAAATCAGATTTGAATATTGCTCTTAATCATTTCTCGCACACATCGCACACGTGATTGCCCGACAACTTTGAGATAATCCCACCACCTTCGATATGCGATTCTAATCCCTGACGTCGTGCTCGAATCACGGCAATAGTAACCGAATGGGCTGGCCCAAAAAGACAGTCAAACAAATTCAGACCGAAAGACTGTTGAGCCGAGATTGAAAGGGTAGCTGGCAAAAATATAATGCTGATGACAAAAGTTATAATACTGAAAAGAAAAGCCAGTACATGGCTGGAGCTACTAGGGAAGGACTCCTGTGTTTAGAATCACGCGTAATGTCTAATTCATAGCTAATATTTATAGAGCCATTACACACTGTGAAATGTATTTACCTACACATAATTTTCCGCTTTGAATAATTTAGATAAGAAGCAGCGATAATAGAAATATGTTTATAAATACTAAACCATTAATTTCATATCATCATTTCAATTTTAAGTTTCCAACTAATATACCTAATAAATTATTAGTAATAATAATGAAAGCTGCTAAAAAGTACGGCGCGTAATAGACAAGAATTTTTACACAGAAATTTGCCACATTTTGATGTGACGTTTCAGCTGTCAAACTGATAGACTGTCATATTATCAATGCTACTACATGACATCTACATCTGGAAAAACTACCCTTCCGTGATCCTGCCTACCAGACTCGTAATCTTGCTTAGTCAAAGTCAAATCATTTATTTCAATGACACACATTTCTTCTTCTTCTTATAGTGCCATCTCCTTGCGAAGGTTGGCGATCATCATGGCTATTTTAATTTTGGATGCCGCGCTTCTAAACAATGACTTGGTGCTTTGACCAAACCATTGTCTCAAGTTTTTCAACCAGTTTACAAGTTCAAAATATAAAAAACACAACTTGTCCAAAAGGTCTTTTAATATGGAAAAGAATGGGTGAGAACTTCTTACTCCTTGTATTAAGAATATCCATAGCATTAAATCCTGCATCATGAGCCCACCCCACACACACACACTCACGTACATACCCTCACTTTCACACCATCACATTGCACAGCCGAATTAGGTATTACGTATTTAAATACATGTTTATTGAGTTTTTCCTTTCGTAAATGTTTGAACCCATATATTATGTATAATTGTTTGTTCTATAAAATTTATATTAGCTGAAGGATTACGTAAATAAATGTGTGATTCAAGTACTCACTTGCCGCCAAAGATGCAGTGAATAAATACACGGTCCCCGACTTTCACGGTCATATCCTTGCTAGTGTAAAGTTCAACAATTTCACTCTCGCCCTTGTTGGGTGTTACTTCCTGTATAACATATTCCGCGATAGGAACATCTTTATTCGGAGAGGCCGGCGTTCGCGCCAGACATACATACTTGAAGTTCTTGTTTGCATCTTCCTTTTCGACACTCGTTATATATAATGTGCCTAAAATTTAAAGAAATGTATTTATTTAGAGTCTGGCTAATGAAAGAAGATAATTGAATTATTTGAAAACTTTCGGATGGCAACACAGAATGTCATTGAATTTCTTAGGATAGTATGATTTATTGTCTTGATACTTGCAATTACTCATTTTTATTTCTATTACATATTTTTCCCGAATATTTAACAGGTATAATAGCCTAAACTTTGTTTTATTTGATGGAATATTTCGTTTCTTTCGCAGGATTTGATTATTCCGAATAAAGTTGTGTTTTATAATAAATATAGTTTTAGTTTTCCATGCAATGCTTGTCATTTTAAGTATCAATAGTAAAAGACTAAATACTTATAGTATTTAATTTCATAGAAATACAGTTACTATCAATGTAATTTTTTTTCGCTTTTTCGTTATCTTCTTTCATTAGCCAGACTCTAGTGGGATTAAAAAGCGCGAATGATGTCATGTCAAAATTCAGTCCCGTAAATTTTGACGTTAGACACTTGAACTTATGTCCAAATCATTTTGTCGCTTTATAGTACGGGAGGTAGCAACGTTTGAAAAAAAAGAATTTTAGGTCAGCTGATTTTGTGATATGTCTTCCTTCTTGCACTTCCGGGTAGAGTCTGGGCAATCTGGCTGGCGGTAGCGGTTGCGTTTTTAATTTAATTCATTTTCAGTTTTTCTTATATTTAAATAACATAATATTAAAAATACAGACATTCTAAAATGCTTTGAAATTTTTATAAAAATAAAACTAAAAATCGCGTCTGGCACATAGTTAGCAACGTGAAAAATGTCTGGCAATAAAAAAAGTATGTCAGGTAGACGTATTTAAAAAGGAAAAATCAAAAATTACGCTTCTTAAAATGCAATGCTTCATCATACTTTATCATTTTAATTCAAGGCTTAACAATCGAATTAATGTCTGGCAAATTCATTTTCAGTTTTTCTTATATTTAAATAACATAATATTAAAATTACAGACATTCTAAAATGCTTTGAAATTTTTATAAAAATAAAACTAAAAATCGCGTCTGGCACATAGTTAGCAACGTGAAAAATGTCTGGCAATAAAAAAAGTATGTCAGGTAGACGTATTTAAAAAGGAAAAATCAAAAATTACGCTTCTTAAAATGCAATGCTTCATCATACTGCAATACTTTATCATTTTAATTCAAGGCTTAACAATCGAATTAATGTCTGGCAAATTCATTTTCAGTTTTTCTTATATTTAAATAACATAATATTAAAATTACAGACATTCTAAAATGCTTTGAAATTTTTATAAAAATAAAACTAAAAATCGCGTCTGGCACATAGTTAGCAACGTGAAAAATTTCTGGCAATAAAAAAAGTATGTCAGGTAGACGTATTTAAAAAGGAAAAATCAAAAATTACGCTTCTTAAAATGCAATGCTTCATCATACTGCAATACTTTATCATTTTAATTCAAGGCTTAACAATCGAATTAATGTCTGGCAAATTCATTTTCAGTTTTTCTTATATTTAAATAACATAATATTAAAATTACAGACATTCTAAAATGCTTTGAAATTTTTATAAAAATAAAACTAAAAATCGCGTCTGGCACATAGTTAGCAACGTGAAAAATGTCTGGCAATAAAAAAAGTATGTCAGGTAGACGTATTTAAAAAGGAAAAATCAAAAATTACGCTTCTTAAAATGCAATGCTTCATCATACTGCAATACTTTATCATTTTAATTCAAGGCTTAACAATCGAATTAATGTCTGGCAAATTCATTTTCAGTTTTTCTTATATTTAAATAACATAATATTAAAATTACAGACATTCTAAAATGCTTTGAAATTTTTATAAAAATAAAACTAAAAATCGCGTCTGGCACATAGTTAGCAACGTGAAAAATGTCTGGCAATAAAAAAAGTATGTCAGGTAGACGTATTTAAAAAGGAAAAATCAAAAATTACGCTTCTTAAAATGCAATGCTTCATCATACTGCAATACTTTATCATTTTAATTCAAGGCTTAACAATCGAATTAATGTCTGGCAAATTCATTTTCAGTTTTTCTTATATTTAAATAACATAATATTAAAATTACAGACATTCTAAAATGCTTTGAAATTTTTATAAAAATAAAACTAAAAATCGCGTCTGGCACATAGTTAGCAACGTGAAAAATGTCTGGCAATAAAAAAAGTATGTCAGGTAGACGTATTTAAAAAGGAAAAATCAAAAATTACGCTTCTTAAAATGCAATGCTTCATCATACTGCAATACTTTATCATTTTAATTCAAGGCTTAACAATCGAATTAATGTCTGGCAAATTCATTTTCAGTTTTTCTTATATTTAAATAACATAATATTAAAATTACAGACATTCTAAAATGCTTTGAAATTTTTATAAAAATAAAACTTAAAATCGCGTCTGGCACATAGTTAGCAACGTGAAAAATGTCTGGCAATAAAAAAAGTATGTCAGGTAGACGTATTTAAAAAGGAAAAATCTAAAATTACGCTTCTTAAAATGCAATGCTTCATCATACTGCAATACTTTATCATTTTAATTCAAGACTTAACAACCGAATTAATGTCTGGCAAATTCATTTTCAGTTTTTCTTATATTTAAATAACATAATATTAAAATTACAGACATTCTAAAATGCTTTGAAATTTTTATAAAAATAAAACTTAAAATCGCGTCTGGCACATAGTTAGCAACGTGAAAAATGTCTGGCAATAAAAAAAGTATGTCAGGTAGACGTATTTAAAAACGAAAAATTAAAAATTACGCTTCTTAAAATGCTTTTAAAATCCAGGATTATTAACTGGACAGATAGGATGCGCACTAATGAACGCAACCGCTACCGCCAGCCAGATTGCCCAGACTCTAACCGGAAGTGCAAGAAGGAAGACATATCACAAAATCAGCTGACCTGAAATTCTTTCTCGAAAACGTTGCTACCTCCCGTACTATTAGAGGGACGTTTCCTCAAATTGCATTTTTCTAGTCCATTTTAATGTTTACTTCCAATCGAAACGATATAATATATACTAATGATCACTTTGGAACGGGTTTTCTCGTATAGAAATCATTATTTTGGTTTAAATAAACACGACTCTGAAAAACACCGCCATGACAGACAATGCAACTTGTCGATAAAACAGAGCGGGCGCCAACTAGCGGCCCAGGCTGTTTTACCGACGTTTAAACATATATTCAGGGTTTTTTGTGACGGTGTGCGCGCGCATCGTAAAAATTTACTCTTATCATTTTTCCCTGACGCGCCAAAAGAAGTATAACTTCAAAAACATTTTATAGTTCCAAATAGCTTCTTTTACTAAACTTTTCATGTCTCCATTCATCACAGCAATATCATTATTGGACAGAAAGAGACAGCACTTTACGGCCTTTATAAGGGGGTTAGTCCCCACTCTGAATCTTGGCTTTTATATACATACCTTCGGGTGCGAACGTCATCCTTACATCGGAAACTTCAGTCGAAATCAACGGGTCGAAGATTGATATAAGTCTCCAAGATATCTCGGGCTTCGGGTAGGAGTTCGACGCGTCGCAATTCAATTTAAACGGCTTGCCCTCAACAGCTTTGACGTATTGGATAACCGGAGCTTCATTCTTTATGTATGCTTGATTCACATTTATAACTCTTGTACTGGCGGTCCCGTAAGCTGTTGAAGCAAAGCATTGGTAGCGACCGGCGGTCTCTGGTGTGGGCTTGAGGAAGACTAAGCTGCCTTCGTTGGGACGCTGGACAGCGTTTACATCTTTCAATGGCTGGCCATTTTTGTGCCATTCAAATCTGAGACAAATAAGCTTAATAAGTCACAAGTCAAGTCAAAAATCATTTATTCATGTAGGTAACACAATGTACACTTATGTCGTCAAAAAGAAATTTACATTAAATGCAAGTTATCACGTCACTTTAAACGTCACAAATCTTACTTACTTTACCTCTTTATTAGGCGAAGATATTATTTACATTTTAAGTAAATTCGACTAATCTGTGACCGTTTTGTATCATAAAATATGTATGAAAATAAATGTATTTAAAACTCCTCCGATTCTCATGAAATTTTGTGTGCGTATTGGGTATGTCTGAGAATCGGACAACATCTATTTTTCATCCCCCTAAATGTTAAGGGTAGTCCACCCCTAAATATTTTTTTTTTAATTTTTAGATTAAATTTTATTATATTTTTTTAGCATTAAAAAATACATACAACCCCTAATTTTCACCCCTCTACGATCAACCCCTATTTTTTATTATAAATGATATACATGGCAAAACGACGTTTGCCAGGTCAGCTAGTAAAACAATATTATTTACGCGTCAATTTACGCTTATTAAATATTTTATACAGATAACTAATGACACTTTATTTATCTGTCAAATTGCCTATTAAGTTCTATTTTTAAATTAGATTTATATCATAGTCACTTACGTGGTATGTCCATCTGGGTACTCCGTAACACACTCCAATAAAAATGGTTCAGACACACGGAACAACACTTCCTCCGGTGCTGGCTTTAAGATGGGATACGCTTGATCTTCCGCTGAACTGGAACCTATGTAAAAAAAAAAAAAAATGAAGCAGTAATCGGTTTTCTCGCTAAATCGAGAATGGCTGGGTCTCGAAGTTGTGGTTCAGGAAAGGTTTGAACGGAATACATTAATAATAAGTAAAGAAAAATACTAAAACGACAATTGTATTTTCCAATAAAAGTGTTCTTGGGAAATATGTGATTTCTTTTTGAAATTAATAAATGATCATTAATTAATTTAAATTAATGATCATTAAAATTAAAACTTGTTAAACTGTTTGTCCAAACTTTTTAAATTTGTTTTGATTTTCTTCTTTCTTCTTTAATTATTTTTATTATTACTTTATAGGTTAAGAAAATTGTAAATACTGTATTTGTGTAAATAAAATCTTATTGTTTTTATACTAATATCATAAAAAATAAAAATAAAAAAAATGATCATTTGGTTGTCATTTGTTTCATAGCTGTAGTAAGAAGTCCGATCTCTTTGGTCTGTTTTAAAAGTTGTATCAAATAAATGAAGGTAAAACAATTCTGATAACTCCTACCAAAGTGGGAATATGATTAAATCAAATCTGAGTGATTTTATTTTCGACTAATAACTTTAAAAACAATTTCGGAATTTACACACATTACATCATAAATAAAATCAGTGGCTCTACAACCTTTTTTAGGTCTGGACCTCAGATTTGTGTATCTGTTTCATGATCATTTGCCGTTCTTATAGGCAAGTAAATGATCAGCCTTCTGCGCCTGACACACGTCGACGACTTGTAGGTCTAAGGCAAGCCGGTTTCCTCACGATGTTTTTTTTCACAGTTCAAGCGAATGTTAAATGCGTACATAGAAAGTAAGTCCATTGGTGCACAACCCGGGATCGAACCTACGACCTCAGGGAAGAGAGTCGCACGCTGAAGCCAACACTGCTAAAAGTCATCATACTCAAATATGATTCCAAAAATTTTTCCTCGAACTTTATTTTGTTCCCTTTGGAATAGTCTTGGGCCGTGGGGTTCAAGTGTAATCTAATTAAAGATTTAAGTTAGCGCCTGGTAGATAGTACCAGTGACCCCAGAGCTGGTGCTTTCGTCGCTCAACGAATAAGTATCGCAGCACAGCATTACCAGCTTTACCTAAAGGTACACTGCCACTGTTTATACCTCCAATACTACTACAGTAATATGTGTAGGTTATGATAACAGTAATTACACTTTCGTTAGTAACTTTAATTATCTTTTGTATCAATAACTATAATATTTTTATAGTTAAGTTAAAGAGCCAGCTGGTGCTTTCCTGGCTCAACGAATAAGTATCGCAATACAGCGAGGAAGTGCTGCCGGCATTAAAGGCACACTGCCACAGGGACCAAACTTTTTAAATTTGTTTTAATTTTCTTTTTAATAATTTTTATTATTTCTGTGTAGATTAAGAACATTGTAAATACAAATTATACGTGTGTAGATTATTTTTGGTTATAGAAAAATTAATCTAACAAGTTCGTTTAAAGAGCTTTAAGATCGCAAAGCACTCACAGAAAAGTCTCAAAATTATAACTAACTAACGGTCTGAAATGGCACAACTGGAAATAATATTTTGGAAATTAAAATAGCATTATTATGGTGTAAGAAGGTTGAAGATATTTCTCATAAACGTTTAAAAATTCTCCATATATGATGATAGCCGTATAAAAAAATATTCACAATTAAAACTGATAATTTTTTGAGTAAGTGTATGTATGTATACGCGTACCCGATCTTGCCTTAACTTAAGAAGCACACACCCAAATCTCAATCTTGTACTTTATTGCGTTATAATCTTAATATATATAAATTACGTGTCACGTTGTTTGTCCGCTATGGACTCCTAAACTATTGAACCGATTTCAATCAAATTTGCACACCGGTTTGATCTAACTTAAAAGATAGGATAGCTTACATCTCAATTTATACCCGCAATAATATTTTATTGCAAATTATTGGTTAATTATTTGATAGTCAAAATTCTAACAGATGGCGCTGTGTTGAAAGTACCAACGTTACAAATAAGCTACAATTTAATGGCATTACCACCAAAAAAGCATGGTGATCTCCAAGACTGGTGTTCTCCTGCCGTTTCCCTTGAATAGTTTACTACTATGTAATATAACAAAAACCGAAGCCATAGTAACGCTTGGCCGGTCTGCTAGTAAATAATATTTATACATATATGCCACTTTTAAAGAATGTTAACTTACCAAAAATGCTTCCGAAGAAGCAGATTCCCAACACTGCTTTTAAACTTATCATCATTGTGTCTGAAATTATTTCAAGTTGTTTATTTCAGAAAAGTAAAAATATAACGATTTTTTTTATTTCCAAAAAAGGGTTTGTATAATGTACATGTAACGAGGCAATCGAATAAAATAGGAGGGCATAGGTAATTGAAATTTATTTTACATTTTTTTAATAACTCTTGAATACTTTAAAGTATCAGCGAGATTTTAGATCGTAATTGGCGTTTATTTTTATTAAAATAGATGTATATTACCTAGTACTCACGTAAACAAAGACAATGAAGCAATATATTTTAAATAAATACCCTGGTTAATGATAAACAATATTAAATTATAGTATTGTCTTTTATTGACATAACTTTTAAACATTTAAAGGACACAATTTTTTTACCGGATTGAAGTTATGTATTGTGGTTACCGTGACCACGCACGCTGTAAAGCACGCGAAACGTCGGTTAAATTTAAGATTATGTCAAATAATTGTAAATTTATAATAATACATAACTTCAATCCGGTAAAAAAAAATTGTTTCCTTTAAATATTAAATTAGATTAATTATTATTAATATTTATCGAATTTTTTAAAATACAACGATCAAATTGGGAGTAATTTTAATTTAATAAATAAGAAAATAAATATCTATGATTCAATAATTAATTTAAATATACTCTATGGACAATTTAAGAAAAAATCGAATATAATTATAATCTGTGACTTACCGTCTCCGTATTGCCGCGAAATGTAATGAACAATCGCAAACATTCGCTGTATTTATATTTCTCGATGCATCATCTTGTGAATTACCGCGACAGGTGACACATATGTATATAAAATAAGGCTTTTTACACATATTTAGTTCATATATTTTCCTGTATTGTATTTTTTAAGGTTTTTAAAATCTCCATATACATACTTAGTTTTAAAATATTTGTTAAATCGTTAACCATAATAATATTTTATGCTATTTTCAAAGTGTTATACAATTTATTACAAAGAATTAGTCTAGCAATTCAAAGGAGGAACGCTGCCAGTAACTTCGGAACCTTGCCTAAAGGGACTCCTTTTAATGATATATTTTAGTTTATGTGAAGTTTAGTTATTTATTTCAATGTATATTAATTATTATTATTTATTTGTTACCGCAGCATAACACCCGAGTCACGCTACTCAAAAAGCTTCATTGTTTCATAGAGTAGTGCATATATTTCGTTACCTAAAGTGAGTGTCATTTCTGTAGCGCTGATCCTCAAATTCCTTTGAGACATAGCGACTTAGCCAGGGGCCAGGGCATGTAGCAAGACTGAGACGAGCGATGGACCATAAGAAACGATACAGTGATGCAGTTTGCAGGTGCATGATACCTGGAGATCCTTGATTCACCTGCGGCCACTCCGCAAACTAATTAGAAATTAGATATTATTCGGAACTGCCCTGCGATTCTGTAACGTGAAGCAGTCATTTTATGATTTGGCATTCTGAAAAGGTGGGAGCTTATAATTTATTGTTTATCAGAATACCAAATCATAAAATGACTGCTTCACGACTGATTTGAGAGCGACCGCCGATGCGACAACCGCTGTGTGAGTTCGAAAAGTGAGTTACAGAATCGCAGGGCAGATACAAATTATTATATTTTTGAAGTTATACTTCTTAAGGCGCGTTATGAAAAATTTATGAGAGTGAAATTTTACGATGCGCGCGCACCGTGACACAAAATTATCAGTATGGGCGCCGAGCGTGCGCGGTCGAGATGGGAATAAGACAATGTACAACTAAAAAGAAATAGAATATGCGTGACGTTAGCAGCTATGCCAAGAATTTTGAATGACCATAATGACATTTGTAGTACCTTTTAAACAAATAAAGGAGTTTTAATTATATTTTTCAAAGAACTTTAGCAATGCTTTTTACAAAGACCTATTGTTACATAATTAAAAGGTTATCAAACCTACCTTGTTATTAAATTGAATTAATAATATTTTAAAATAATAAATAATTATTATTATTAATATTAAAAATAATTGAATAATATACTAAATATTAAATATTGTTAAATTATTAACGCTAAATATTTATTATTAATTATTTAATATTTAAAAAAAAAATAAAGAAAGCCAAAGAAGTATAACTTCTTACGCGCGCATAAGTACACGCACCATTTTTTTAAAATCATAATAGGATAATCTTTATAATATAAGTAATTCGGTTAGTTTAATCATGCTACATACATATAATTTGTATTTACAATTCTTAATCGACAAAGTAATAATAAAAAAATAAATTTTAATAAAATAAAGTTTAGGTACTTTACTTTTATTTAACTTCTTATGGGAGGGTAAACCGCTTCGTTACGTAACGCGTAACGGCGCCAGTCTGTCTTCCCTTTCTCTCACGCATACGGCAGCGGTAGGCAGGCTCTCCCTCTCTTACACTAACCCGCAGCGCTAGCTAGCTGTTGTGAGCGTTAGACATTTACTGTTGTCAGTGAACATAATATAACAAACTATTAGCGTTTTTTAAAGTGGTTACAAAACGAAAGTGATGATAAAAAATATGATGCATAAAGCATATGAAAACATCTATACACAAATAAAGTGTAATTAAAGAACACTAATACGTAGTCGGTCCCAAAGTTCTGTCATAAATGGAAATAATGATAAAAACAAAAGTACTTATCACTTTTTAATGAGTGATATATCAATTTATAGTACATTAATTAAGGAATAGAAATAGCATGTAAGTGCCCACTCTTTTTTTTGTATGCTCGTAGACCAAGATCTTCATTTAAAAGCTTTTTTACTATTTTCCTATTGACACCTATCTGCCAAGCCATCAATTTCTGTTTTCGGGCAGGATTTCCTACTATCCGCGCCTTGATAGCTTTGACTACTGCTGGTGTTCTTGCGGAGCGTGGCCGGCCAGTTATTTTCTTGTCCTCAACACTGGAGACTTCATTGTACCTATCAATAGTACGGTACATAAACCTAAGCGTTATATTCAAACTTTTGAGCAACTTGAAAATGGTACTCGGAGAGTGCCCACAGCGGTGCAACGCAATAACAGCTATTCGGTGTTCTTTCAATGTCCACTCCATCGTGAAAAATTACGGAAAGTGATTGTTTTTTGTTTTAAAACAATAGTCAAACATTCAAAAATATAATGCAATATTTTTTTTATAAAATTATGTCCGAAATTTAAAAATAATGTGAAATTGACAGAACTTTGGGACCAACTACGTACATAGTTTTTTTATAAATTAAACTCATCATTGTTTATTTTATCATATTAATATATAAAATTGAAGTATTAACCTAAGCTATTACTTCTGTCGGGGTTGCCGAGACGCACACATTTTTTCAAATTCATTATAGTGAGGTTGGCAACATTTACTTCCATAGTTGCCGGTTATGGCAATACTATTACGAGTCTGGCTGTCTTTTATTTACTGGCTGATTATCAGCAATGCATATGTAAATTTGTTTTGTTTTTACTTTTGTTACTATTATTTGTTTGTATATTTTTAATTTTCTTATGTTACGTAATTTTCTTAAAGGATTATTTTTATATTTTACATGTATATTGCGAAAAATATTTTTTTTAATTTTCTACGCTTGGTTCATACAAATGTATTTTATTCGATATGTTTCCCTTACTTATAGGAAAATAGTGTATACCTACCCTTAGATTAATCTAGTTATTGCTTATTCACATTTCTAATGATTAGGAAAATTCAATTTTGTATTTTTATTTTCCTTTGTAGTCACTCGTCCGTAAGGATAAAGCAAGAACGTTCAACTATCAGCTGTGTGGTAATATATGTATCTCTTATTTGTATGAAGTTTAGCTTCTTAAGGCATTCCCCAAAATTACAGATCAGGGGCTTGAGACAAAATCCCTTCGTAAGGCTGAACTCACTAACGCCATACGAATTTGTATGGAAATGGTCACATGACTAAGCGTGATCTAGAGTTTAATACAAATTTCTTTGGCTATTTGGCCAAGCCCCAAAAACAAATGCAATCTAAGGGCCTTTTAAGCTCCTATCTGTGTTATGTGTTTCCACCCGCATTAATTCGGTCTTAGCACGATGTTCTCTGGCCTATAACTTTCTCGGTAAATAGATTTTTAATGCAAAAAACGTGTGTGTACTTATACACGCGTTAGAAGTCATACTTCTTTGGCGTAACAATATAAAAATATTTTCACAAATTTTATTCTACGTTTGTGAAAAAAACGACACTTACAACAAAACTAAAATGTTGACTATAGCTAACTTCAAGGTGTCGGCTTTTTGTGACGGTGTGCGCGCGCATCGTAAAAATTTACTCCCACAATTTTTTCCCTAACGCGCCAAAAGAAATATAACTTCAAAAAAAAAAGGGTGCCTGTACTTATGTACGCGCGTAAGAAGTTATACTTCTTTGGCATTATTAAAAATAGTTTTTGATTGCATGCAAATAATTAATTACAATTAAATAATCAAAGACTGGAAAAGGAGTCATTATAGTCAATAAAGTTCAGTTTACATTTGAAAAATTAAATAAATAAATATTTATTATTATTCTCTTACATTAAGTGTAACATAAATAATTCTATTATTATTCGAATGTTGTTTTTAAATTATGTCCAATGCCGTAGCATCTTCCGTGGGCAACTTTCTTCTGTAAATTTTGTGTCACGGTGCGCGCGAATCGTAAAATTTCACTCTCATCAATTTATCATAACGCGCCTAAAGAAGTATAACTTCAAAAATGTCAGAAATATGGTATCGCGGAGCTTATTGTAGATGTCTTCTATTAAACATTCATAATTTTGCTCTATTGCCAATAGTTTCCACAGCGTACGCGATTCATGAGTTTTTGGTCTTTTTCATACCTTGGGTTACACAGTGTCGTAATTTAATAAAGAACCCTAACTTTTTTGGAAATGTTCTATAATTTATGGTCATCAGAGATAACGAAGGATTCTAATAGTGAAAGAATGGTTCAAATCATCAGTAGTTATGAAGCCTATTCA